ACAACTAAAAATTAAATCATACTTTAAAATCCATATTTTAAAATAATATGAGGTTGACTCATTGCAAGTTTTCCTCAATTAAAATATTTAAATAAATAAACTGCACTCACCTTTGCCTTACTATTGAACTTTTAATACGATACTCTTTTACTCAAGTGCTTTGTCTTTCACTTTCGAGTCACCAAAATCACAAGATTTGTTGTAATTTGTACGACATCGCATACATAACCTCGTTTTCAACTACATAATATTATACTAACATAATTTAATTCCGATAAAATAAATTCTATAAAACATAATCAATACTAACTCTATATAAAACTAGATCATAATTTCCATCACAACTTCAAACTTCTCAAAATAGTCATTCAAATCCATAAATATTCATTTCCACCATTAACCCTTCAACTTTTAAAAAATCCTTGCATTTAAGTCACAATATTCCTTCACCAATTAACTTACTTCACATCAAACGTTAAAATTTCTAGCACATAAATAATTTACTCAATCCAATACTTCAACATTTAAAAACTTGCAATTTAATCCTCAATTTCCTTAGTCTTTTCGAATTCAACCATCAACTTTAGCAAACTTATAATTTGATCCCAAACCAATATTTAAACTTAAAAATCAGCAGTCTTATAATAATTTCCAGTATTGTAATTTCTTACCCAACTAATACCTTCACATTTACAAACTTACATTCAAGTCCCTAAATTTCCAAGACCTTTAAAATTCACCCTAAAAATTTACCAAATTTTCACTTTGACCTAAATCATCAGCATAACTTAAAATCCGACATTCCATAATTAAAATTCAACATTGAACACCCTAATTAACACATTTTTCCATTAATGTCTCACAATTCTTGAAACTTGCAAAATAACCCTTTTTACTATCTGAAGGTTTTAAATTGTTCCAATTCGATTTCCAAAGCATATAGAATACATCTAATATCAATTATATACCATAGAAAAAATTTTAACATTTTCCCAACATTTTTCCTTTTATGGCTGAATATTATTAGTAACATAGGGCTTGATTTTCATTCAATTTCAAGCATGAATTCAACCTTCAAACATCAAATTCATGTTATTCCAATCATCCTAACATCAAATTCAATCAAAATTAAATCATTCTTCATATACCCTAACATGGAAAAAACCACATAAGCTTTTATACTTGATTTTAATCATCATTCATGCTTTATAATTAATCTACAACCTCAATAACATAAAAATCTTCCATTAAATCTTCAAAATCAAACATATTCTTCAATCACCCAATTCATGAATCTTAACATTTAAGCATGATTTCCATGTAATTTTTATACCAAATGATAGAGAATTTCAAGATGATTAATTCTCTATCTAACAGTTTAGTCCAAAAATCAACCATAAAACTTCAAAAATCAATTTGAAAATCTTACCAATTTAGCTATGGAGGTTGACGACTAGAGCAAGAAGAAAGGAGCTGTTTTTTTCATCTAATTTCCTTCGTAATTATCAATTAAAACACTTGTCACCTTTTAATATAATTGGATTTTAAACTCTAATAATGATAAATTCTAATTTAACTCTTGATGAATCACGATAATTACCAAATACCATTGAAATAACTTCCATTAAAATATCTCATAGTCAAAGATGAACCAACTTAAAGTTGACTTTCTACTTTTCAATTCCACTAATCATTGCTAATTTTCACTGTTTTAAAATATGAAAATAATATCTCCAACCTTTCTCTAGAACTTCAAATTTTTGTGAAATTTTAGTTCGATCCGATTATTCGATTTCTTACCGAACTTTACTGCTTTACAACTTTTAATACAAATCCATAATCAAAATTTTGATTACCAAAAAAACCTTAATTTTGAGAAAAAATATTCATTTAGATGCCAAAATATATAACTTTTAAAAATTATATTTTTGGTCCCTAAACTTTTCTAAATTTATACTTTAACTACAAAACTTTCAAAACTTGCATTTGGTCACTACCCAAAATTTGGGGGTCTTACAAATGCATATTGACTATGGATGATGGTTCTTTTACGAGACATATATTCTTTCATCATGTCCTCAGAATATGTAGATAATGAATTAGAGACATGCTTATTATGCATTCAGTTTTATGGTCGCATCTAGAGACGGAGCCATGATTCCAATTTAAGCGGGTAAAGTATAATTAATCATAAAAAATGAGGGGTCAAAGTAAAAATAACCATAAAAATAGGGGGAAAATCAAAATAAACTAAAATTTGGAGCCCTAATTTAATATTTTTTCCATATATTTTTTAATAATAAAAAAATAAGGGAACAGTGGCCCCAAGACAAAATGTAGTTTTGTCCCTAGTTGCATCGTCTGGTGCTATGACATAACTGATGTGTCGATAACAGTCGTTGCATAAAATATCACATAAGTTGTTACTGTATTAATTGATACCAATTAAAACAAGAGTTTTTCATGACATTCTATTTCAAATTTATGGTGACATTATTGAAATTTAAATTACCCCAACTAAAGTTAAGGCGTTACCTCCATCTAGTGTTATAGGTCTTCAAATACAAATTTTTTTTTCAGTTTTGGTTATTCACACAGTATACCAATTTTTAGATTCTAGAGTGCATTCCTCAAAATGTTGGTTGTCTCCACAATATACATAATTCAATGTAACAACTTTAATCTCGTGAAAATTAGATGGTTATTTCATTGATTTAACAATAATAGCTAGTGAATATATTTGGGCTATCAATGTTGTGATTGCATCTACTTCAATGGCTCTAACATTATTATGGGAACAATTCTTACATTAGGGTATTGATAGTCATTGTTAGCTATCATATCTAAAATGTCAATTGCTTCATTACAAGAATGATCTAACAATGTTTCGTTGATAGATGTGTAGACAATTATTCGAGTGTGAGCATTCAATCTATTATAAAACATTTTGGGTTATGTCGAACCTTTAAAACCATGCAATATACATTTTAGAAATAACTCTCTAAATCTTTCCCACGCCTTATATAATTTTTCATAATCCAGTTGGTAAAATGATGTAATATCAATGTTGCAATGGAACTAGAAGGCAATGAGTTGATCCATACCTTTTCTCTATCTTCCAAAGAACAATGAAATACTTTAACTTTAAAGCTTTCTTAGGCATACCCTGTTGTATGAATGAGTCATATACTTTTAAAAATAATCGTAAATGTAATCAAGGGAGGTAAACCACTAAATTGTCTCATTGATTAAATGATTTAGAATATAACTAGTTTAAGCTTAAATTATGCGATTCGAACAATATGTCTGACAATGCCTAATTAAGATCACCGCATGACCTTGAATCGTTTGATTTTGATCTTTAAAAGGGTATTGTGGTAATAATACTGAATGTATTCTTTGTTGTACACCGTGATTACCTTGGTCAGTAATCTAACCATTAATTTGACCATCAACTAAAGTTGGATTGTTCACGTTATATGTCTCTCTTTGTTTCTCACATAGTGCTTAAGTAAAATAGACAAGAAACTCAGTTTATTGGATGAAGTATGATGTATTATAAAATGTTGTGTCAATCCTAAGTGTTTTCACTAAAATAACCTAAGTTTTAGCAAATTCCTAAATATAAAGTTGTCTAATATAAGTCATTTTAGGTAGTTATCAACCATATAAAACTTTAATCCTAATATATATCAAAGTCATGATAATAAAGTATATCAAAGTCATGATAATAAAGGATGTCAAAATCCTATTTAATACATAATATTCTAATAATAGACATCCATATAAATAAATATTTATAATAATATAAATATTTTTAGTTATTGACGAAATTTTTTATTCATCACGAATACTAAATATATTATTATAAAACCTAAAAAATCTTATTTTTAAGATATCATAATAATTAGTTAATATTGTTTACATCAATACTATTATTTAAATATTATTTTTTACAATTTTATAAATAAAATATTTAGTATAATATGTTTTATTAAAATAATAAATATTATTGATTATATTAATCTCTTATTTAAATAAGTATATTATATTATCATTAAAAACATTAATATATATAGGTTAAATTTATCATTTCCTTTTAAACTATATATTATGTATCGAATTACCTCTTAAAGTTTAAATTGCTACTTATTTGTCCTAAACTATTAAATTTATTTAAAAAAAATTAAGCGTAAATTATATATTTCCAGTTTGATTTGATTTATTTTTAAAATTTGTAATATATAAGAATTCAATTAAATATTTTCTAAGAGTTAATTACCTCATATGTCCCTAGATTATTACTCTCATTTTAAATTGGTCCTTAAACTTTTGAGTATTCTAATTTTATCCTTAAACTATGAGACTTATTCTAAATTAGTCCTTAAACTTTTGAACATTCCAATTTCATTCCAAACTATGACCCTTATTCTAAATTGATCCCTAAAGTTTTGCAATTTCATTCCCAAATTCGTCCAAATATGTAATTAATTTTAACCATAGTTTAACCTAAACTTTATTTTTTTCAAACATAAAATAATATAAAATGGAATGTGATTAGTATGTACATATAATTTGGGATGAAATTGAAATGTTGAATATGTTTGGGGATCAATTTAGAATGAAGGTTACGATTTAAGGATGAATCTAAAATATTCGAAAGTTTAAAAACTAATTTAGAATGAAGGATATAATTTAAGGATGAATCTAAAATATTCAAAAGATTAAGGATTAATTTAAAATATAGATAAAATTTAAATGTTTTAAAGGTTAAAAATCAATTTGAAATGAGAACTATAATTTAAGGATGTATGACGTAATTAACTCATTTTCTATAGCTTACGCTACAAACGTGTTATGAAAAGGCAAACCATTCCCCCTTTGGAAAAAATGTAATTTTAATTTCCTTTTATTACGCTATTTTACTCCCTTATTATATGTTATTTTCTATAAAAACAGTTTCTGTTTTCACATTTCTCCAGTCTGTCTTCGAATAAAACGTCCGCTTCTCCTGCTGTATGCATACGGCAATCGGTCAAAGTTTTGGCTTTTCCTTGAAAACCCTAATTCCCCACCATTCTCCCAAATCAATACCCTGAAATATGGTTTTTGTTAGGTACCGGATCGAATAATCAGGCTGGAGTGAGGCACTATTTCGATCATCGCCATGTTTGAAGCTCATGTAAGCTTCTATTATTTTGTTTTCCTTTTGATTACATTTCTTTCTCGATTGAATTAGTGATTTATTTACTTTGTTTATATAGCATCATAAGTTTTTGGAAGCCTATAAATTTTGTCAGCAATCATATTTTTATAGGTTGGTGAGTATGTATGTTAATGATTTAGATCGGAGGAATCTAATTTATGGGGTTTATCTTAAGAAAAATAGTTTTTACAGTGATATGTGGTTGCGAGGTTATCATCACACAGGGCGTTATAATAGCAGTGTACATAATAAGAGAAGAGAAGAGTGACGAAACATACTTAAATTAGGCATAAATTTATAAAGTTTTCCAGTCGGAATGTTTGTTTCTAAATGATATCAATGTATCCGATTTAAGTAACTTGGTTAAGGATATGTGGGATTTTGGTTTTTATTTGATGTCTGGGTTCTTTCATTTAATCATCATATTTCCTCGAGATATTTATTTACTTTTGTAACTGTTGAGCCTTTGAGATTATATTTTTTTATTACTTGTAATCGATCTTCTAGACAATTAATCCTTTCTGCAAGTATCCTGTGTTTACCCATTTCTTCTGGGGCTTCTGAATTTGTTCATATTGTTCTATGTTAATAGGTTCTGCATTTGCTTCGAAGATACTTGGGGGAGTATGTTCATGGTCTCTCATTAGAGACTTTAAAGATCAGTGTTTGGAAAGGTTTCTTCTGCAATATTATTTGATATTGTTTTCTTTTCTTGCTGATCTTTTTTATCATCTGTTTGAGCTACGATTGTTAAATGAAGCTTTTTATGAAAGCAGCTTGGGACATGAACATGCTGTCACCTTCTTTTTACAAATTTTCCTTTTTTTTACAGGTGACGTTGTCCTCAAAAATTTAAATTTGAAGGCAGAGGCCCTAAACTCTTTAAATCTTCCAGTTACTGTCAAAGCTGGTTTTGTGGGCACCATAACTCTAAAGGTGACTGTTTTTCAATAGTATATGTTTTATTTTCTATTTTTTTATAAGAGTTATAGGCCTCGTTAAAAACCCCTTTCATGATTAATGGGGCTTGTAAAGAAACTCCTTAATCAGCGGAAGGAAGAAAAGAGTGCCTTAAAATTTCATTAATAACAAGATAAGATACATAACAATTACAACACCTAGAAAGTTCCCTTACATAAAAAACTTAAACCCAAAAAACAGCCCTTAACATCAACACTGAACTCCGCCTATTCCAGCCTTAGCTAAGGCATCAGCCTCTAAGTTAGCTATCCTAGCAACCCATCTAACCACACCCTCAAAATCTTTGAGCCTATTAACGATGTCTTTTACAATAAAAGCTTACACATCTGTAAATAGTTCAACATTCTTGATCCAGTCCACTGCCACCTTACTATCACTCTCAATAATCAAATGATCCTTAACAAGCCCTCGAAAAGAGACAAAGAAAAGTAAACCCTATTAGGTTTATTTCTGTCACTTCTTCCATTGGACAGCTTGGAAAAATAATTCCTTTTTTGATATGATAGTTTTTAATTGTACTTGGACAAAAAACGTTTTTTCCCTCTTTTGAAATGTGTTTTTTGTTCTGATTATTAATGTTCTTATTCTTCTTTTGGATTTTTTATGTTGTAGGTTCCTTGGAACAGATTAGGTAAAGAACCTGTAATTGTTCTTATTGATCGTGTATTTGTTCTTGCTCACCCAGTTCTTGATGGCCGGACTCTCAAGGTAGAATGATTTTCTATTTGAAGAGAGGGAATTTCATTTTAATTTTCTTCTACTTTGATTTGGGATCTTATTTCAATTTTGTATAGGAGGATGATAGGGAGAAACTTCTTGAAGCTAAGATTCAACAAATTGAGGTAAACCTTTAGCATTCTATCAGATATGATCTTCATCTTATAGAATGTTTGCATGCTATTATTTTGATTCCTTCGAGTATATTCTTGTTGAAAATGTACTGATTGGGAAATTGTACTGGTTATATCACACAAGCATTTTTGTACTGGTTATATCAAATGCTTAAAACGCTCACGAATTTGTGATGTTTCCTGTATTTATAGCAGATTAGGTATTCCTGAACTAATTATTCTATTCCTGCTTGATTGTTGTGCAATCATGTAGAGTTGTGTGCTCAAAAAGTTATATCACACAAGCATTTTTGTAACTTGTTGGTGTAGAAATCAGTAGAGAATGTAATTCTCAGATATTTTATTGATTAGTAGAGAGGGGTATATATACAACCCTAATCATGCTAAACTAGGTAGCATAATAATCACCCTAAGAATCTGCCTAATAATCAGCCTAACAATTAGCCTAAGATTCTGTAACAGTTGGCATGCTATATATTTTGAATTTTAGTCATGCATGATGCATGAGTACATGATATTTTACACTTATTCTATTGCCTGCAGGAGACAGAATCTGCAACTATTGAAGCAATATCTGGGTCAAAGGAGGGAAATGTATGGCTATGGATGCTAAAAATGTTTTACTTTCTCCCAATACTCTTTTGTTTTGTTTTTATTATTGATTAATGTACTTTGAAATACATTTGAGGCTATTGCCTACTTTTTGTATTGCTAATAGTTACTTTTATGTTCTCCCTACTAAAATCTTGATGGATGGATCTTGATATGTTAATTGTGTTACACATATATCCTTCATTAGTTAATGCTAGTTTGACTAATTTGATTATGTTTTGTTTCTTCTACCAGTTTATGATATTGGAGAAATTGTTGCTTTTTGCAAATTTTAGTCACTCATTGTTAGCTCTTTCTTTCCCCCTCCTGTTTGAGTTGTGTTTGCAGCTTGCTGGAAATTCGTGGCTTGGTTCTCTGATTTCTACAATTATTGGAAACTTGAAGATAACTATTAGTAATGTACATATCAGATATGAGGATTGCATCAGGTGGGGATCATGTGCTTTTTTTTATGGTTTAAATTCTGCCTGTTTTTGGATTTGTAGTTTTTGTAAGCTAAGATAGTGTTTCCTTCTAACTCTCAAATGCATATTTTTCTTTCTTTACTGACTGGTTTGCTTTTGTATAAATGGGCTGTAACATTGTAGCAATCCTGGCCTTCCATTTGCTTCTGGTGTTACACTGGCTAAGCTTGCTGCTGTTACAATGGATGAGCAAGGAAATGAGACCTTTGATACCAGTGGTGCTTTAGATAAGTTGCTTAAGGTTAGCTCTTTTTTTATTTTCCTGCCCTATTAACATATTCGACCGTCCTTAGAAACATTTGAGAAGGGTATAAATAATTTGATAAAACATGTCAATGGTAAAACACTACGGTTGTTTCTTGAAATAGAGGGTATTTCATCCAAATAGTGTGGCATGAAGTTGCATCTCAAACTTTGGGAATGGTGATTATTATGTTTGGTAACTGGTTGAATTGTTTCTCCTTGTTTTGAAGTTCTGAATTATTCTCAGAATTCCTCAAGAGAGGAACATGTTTGAATAAACATCATTCCAGTTTGTTAAAGGGTAATCTACTTTACTAGTCATGATGGTAAAAGTTTCAGTTTTTGATGTTTCTAATTTTGTCTTGCATGCATGACTAGGACTTTGCCTTGAATTCAAATGCGTTGAAACAAATATATGAATCAATTAATATATGATATGCCCCCCTAAGTTGTGAGATTAAATGCATTTTTATTTATTTATTTTGATAGGAATAAGGCCTCGTTAAAACCCCCCTTCATAACTATTAAGTTTAGTAGAACTCCATAGTCATTGGAAGGGGGAAAACAGTGCCCAGAATTTTATTGCCAAACATAAGAAATACAACCAAAACCAAACATAAACAATACAAAGACATCCATTACAACAACCCACCACCCCCTTACTCACCTATACAAAAACCTGTCCTCACACTATCCTATTCCTGATTTAGCTAAACAATCAGCTTCCCCATTAATACATCTGTTAACATGCCTAGTTATAACATTAAAATGCAACACAATCTTCTGAATAACTCTGACCAAATCAACATAGGGAACCGGGCAAAGATCCGAGTTGTTGATCCCCATTTTTATGATTATTTAGTATAAGAAATATAGTTTCAATGAGGATGATATGTTTCTTTTTGAATGTAGACTTTAGTTAACCTTCATTGTAATAGAAATTCATCTGTAAATTATGGGGCTGGACAATCATGAGATGATGTGAATTTTTTTTTCATGAGATGATGTGAATTTATTTTTCTTTTATAGTTTTCTTTAGAATTCTTGCAACTCAATTTATCCCTTTGTTGGTTTGTCGTAATTGCTGCTGCTGCTGCTTTTTGTTTTTGAGTGACAAGAAAAATATGATTCACTAATGCTTGTGAAGTTTATTCTCAGTCTTTGCAACTGGAGAGGCTTGCTGTGTATCATGATTCAGATAAGCCGCCTTGGAAGATGGAGAAGAAATGGGAGGATCTTAGTCCCAAAGAATGGATTGAGGTTTGGCTCTTGTGTGGCATCATAATCTCATTCACTTCCATAGTTTCATAATTTTCATTGTGGTAATATGATGAAGGTTAACTGAAAAAAAATTTAAATGTCTCATCTTCTTGCTCAATTGTTGTTAATCCAGGTATTTGAAGATGGTATAAATGAACCAGCTGCTGACTGTGTAGTAGTGTCTAAGTGGGCAATGAATCGTAATTACATGGTGTCACCAATCAATGGAATACTTAAGTATCATCGGCTTGGAAATCAAGAAAGAAATGATCCAGATATTCCTTTTGAGAAGGCTTCTCTTGTCCTAAGTGATGTCTCCTTAACTATCACTGAGGTCCTATACTTTAACTTTTTCCCGTATATATATATATTTAATTTCTATTTCTTGAATAAGATGGATTTAAGGTTTTGTTTCCTTTGCATTGTCAATCAAGAAATAATGAGAAAGGGAAATGATTCTTCTACTCGATCTTGAAATTGGCCTTCTCCCCTTGAAATTGACCTTCTTCCCCTTTTACAGGCACAATATCATGATTGGATAAAACTTTTAGAAGTTATTTCAAGATATAGGACATATATTGAAATTTCCTATTTAAGACCCGTGGTGCCAGTTTCAAAGGAGTCTTATTTCTTATGGTGGCATTATGCTGCTCAGGCTACACTGCAACAGAGGAAAATGTGGTATAAACTACAGAGTAATCATTTATAAATATTTGCATTTAATAATTATTCTAGGAGTACCTCTTGTTTGATAATCTGAATATTTGTCTTGAAGTTAACCTTTTTCTTTGTTATCTGTTGCTTCTCTTTCTCATCTGCTGTTTGAGTAAATGTTTTCCCCATTAAAATGTTTCTTTGTTTCAGCTATCGGTTCTCTTGGGATCGAATTTTGCTTATGTGCAAGCTTCGTCGGCATTATGTTCACTTGTATGCCAGTTTGCTGCAACAGTCATCAAGTGTTGACAAGTCAGAAGTTAGAGAAATTGAGAAGGATCTTGACTCAAAAGTAATTCTGCTATGGAGGTAAGAATGCTTAGCTTTGCCTAAACTCTGTGCTCTCTCTCTCTGAAATGAAGTAAAACTTGTTCATTACTGAGACAATGATCTGCATGTTGCACGCCCCAATCTTTCTCTAGTTTTGAAGGGGAAAAACATGGTTTAGTTGAGTTGCTGTTTTGTTTGGTAATTATTACAAAAACTTATCTAAGCTCAACTGGCAAGTGGCAACTAGACAGGGTTTCTTATTGCGATCGAGCATGATCATGCATTATCAGGGGCAAATCCTCAAGGAATTTTTTTTTTGGGGGGGGGGGTGAGACCTTGGAGAAATTAATGAATAGAAATTAATGAATAATTGTAAAAACACAATTCTAGTCCCTTCAAAATTTAATTAGTTCAAATATTAGCCCTTCAATTAATGGGAAGTTTCATTTTTGGCCCCTCTCAAGAATTAATAATTCAATTGAAGACATTTTAAATCAATTTTTTTACCTCTGCCCACCCTAAAAAAAAACTCAGTCCCCAAGCAAAAATTCGTAGTTTTTCCCTTTTGCATAATTTAAGTAATTATTGCATGAAGTTATTAGCCTTGGAGGCTGATAACTTTAGGTTTGTTTTAGGTAAATTAAATTTTGATGTCCTATATTTGGTGTATGACGTAAGTAGTATTGGCCCCTCTCAAGAATTAATAATTCAATTGAAAACATTTTAAATCAAATTATTTTTACCTCTGCCCACCCCCAAAAAAATTCTCAGTCCCCAAGCAAAAATTCCTAGCAGTGCATTATCCAAGTAATTATTGCATGAAGTTTTTAGTCTTGGAGGCTGATAACTTTGGGGTTGTTTTAGGTAAATTAGTTTTTGAAGTCCTATACTCGGTGTATGATGTAAGTAGTAACTGCTGCTATCAATGATGAACTATGCTCAAGTTCTTATTGCTTAAAATTAGATGATAGTGAAACCAACAGTCATGTTTTCTGCAGTGAAAGTTGGACATAACGACATTCACTATGTTTCAGTGCATGTCCTACCATAATATGAATATGCATTTGAAATGGGTGGACATATGTTGGATGCCTCCAGATGCACCAGGAATGTTTTAAAAAATGATTTTAGACCAAGGACTGGTATGGCCAGTCAAGCTACAGAATCTGTCATGGTTTACCAAAGGGAGAGAGATGCACAATTATCAGTTTTTTCTGTTGGCCATAATTTTTCTTTATGTTCAATACTTGAATGATTAGGAATTGTTGTATTACCATATGTTAAGGGTTGCAGCAGGATTCGTTTTCCGAAAGGATTGGGGGGGGGTGGGTCCTCCTATTCTTTCAGAGCTATTGGCTATAAAAAGAGGACTGATGTATATTGAGGAGAAATCTTTGGTTTCATTTCCAAGGGTCATCTTGGAATCAGATTCCCTTAATGCACTGAAATGGATTAAAAATCCGGGTGTATGTACTCCTATGTTCCAGCCGTTGGTGAAAGACATTGCTGCATTAGTGGAGAGTAGAGGGGTAATTGTTAGGCATATTTTGAGAGCTGCTAATTGTGAAGCGAATAAACTAGCTAAAGAAGGAATAGGATGAATATTAGATTATTGACTAGGTTGCACAATTTTTGAGCTGGTTATTTATGTTATGTGTTTGGTTTAAGTTTTATGTTGTAACAGAACTTCGTAGGATGGATATGTATTATTCTGGTATTAATGAATTTTTAGGCACTCTTTTCCTCCTTCTATGCCCTTCATGTTATTGTTGTAACATGGAGGTTAAGAAGAGGGTTTTTAACGAGGCCTATCCAATTTCTATAAAAAAAAAAGTGGTCAAGGATGTTAATGTACTATTCATAGTTCAACAATTTCTTTCTTCACTGGTCAAATGTTCCTTCATTTTTCATTTCTATTTGGACCAATTAGGTTACTTGCACATGCGAAGGTTGAATCTGTAAAGTCAAAGGAAGCAGCTGAACAGAGAAGGCTTAAGAAGAAAAGTTGGTTTTCATCGATTTGGTATGTGGAAATAAATATGAGAAGGTTATATGTTAGTTTTTGTTATCATCTTGTTTTGAGCTTTCCCTCCAAACTTTAACTTTTGCAAATTCGATTCACCTTTAATTTCAGGCAAACACAATCTGAAGATGTGTCTGATGGGGATGCTTTGGGTGAATCACAGTTAACAGAGGAAGGGTTGAGTAAAGAAGAGTGGCAGGCAATCAATAAGTTACTCAGTTACCAGCCTGATGAGGATTTGATGTCACATTCTGGGAAGGAATTGCAAAGCATGATCCGCTTTATGGTAACTGTATCTATAAGTCAAGCTGCTGCGAGGATTATCGATAAAAACCAGACAGAGATACTTTGCGGTAGATTTGAACAACTTCATGTGTCTGCTAAGTTTAAACACCGCAGTACCCATTGTGATGTAAGGTTAAGATTCTATGGTGTGTCAGCCCCTGAAGGTTCACTTGCTCAGGTTTGTTTGAGTAGCATGTTTGAGCTGTTTCTTTCTGAGATGTCCTTTGTTGATGATAACTAAAGGCTTCGAACTAAAATGAATACCATGGAGTTTATACGTATATCAACCTACTTTTCTAATTTTTAAGATAGCTTTAATGGATTCAAACTGTATGTTATTGCCAGATTGGATGATATATACATACATACATATAATATGTGTGTTTCCTTATGTCGGATTTTTTCTGCAGAGTGTCTGCAGTGAGCAAAAGGTGAATGCATTAACCGCTAGTTTTGTCCACTCACCGGTAGGAGAGAATGTTGATTGGAGGTTGTCAGCTACAATTTCCCCCTGTTATGTTATGGTAATTTCATTGATCCTAGAAGGAAAAGGAGATGACTGGGTCTGCATCAATTTACAAATGGGGATTCATCCTGACTTGCTTTTTCTGTCTTGTACCATTGATTGTATATTTCTGATCAGTAACCATAATAATGCTTTTTTAATGATGCCCAAAATTGGTTCCAAGAATTTTCATTGGGGGTGGGGGACAACTAGTATGAGGTAGTAATAATCCCATAGATCCATAAAATTTCTCATCTTGGTTTGAGGAAAGACAATTAATGAAAACTTGGTTGAGGAGTGACATAGTTTATGTTCAAATCCCGTTGGAGGTAATGGAACAAACTTTTTATCTCCTTTTGAGGCCTTCTCTGGAGGTCCTTAGTTTCCTAGCATGCCAATGTCATTCTAATTCTGGTTGAAAGTACCTAGTTCCTGGTCTAAGGTATGAGTGTGGGGTGGCAAAATTTATTGTCAATTTTTTGCACCCCCTGGCCTGATGTTTTATTATATGCTGTAGTATTTTTTCTATTGGGATGGTCCATTATTAGCACTTTAGTTGTGAATGCATTTGGCAAGTGGTCCTTTATTTACTTTTTCTGCCTTTTTTAGTTCGTTTTGTCATCTCTTAGCACATAAAGCTTGATAACTTCTTAAGCTTTTTTGCAGGTTTTGAAGGAAAGCTGTGATCGCTTTTTTGAGTTTTTGAAGAGAAGTAAGGCAGTTAGTCCAACTGTTGCTTTGGAAACTGCCACTGCATTGCAGGTAATGACATTAATAGAACTAGCATAAGAAAAACTAGGTGAAGGAATTTTTATGCAAGCATTGCAGCCCAAACATTGGCCCACTCTTTCTAATTAAATTTATATTAACTATAAAAGTAGGGGGATGTAATTTCAAAACAAATTCATAAAAAATGTTGAAGATTAATATTTTATCTTTTATTATATATATTTACTATGATATAATTTGAATTTTGGGCCAATTCACTGGGTTGGTGCCACTCACCAAACTCAGTTTGTCACTCTGTAGAATAATGATCTTAGAAACTATTTCCACTTTGTGCTGCTAATTATTTTAAACCATTGTTAGACAAAGATAGAAAAAGTGACGCGAAAAGCACAGGAGCAGTTTCAAACAGTGTTAGAGGAACAAAGCAGGTTAAATGATTGTTTCTACTATCAATTGTGCTCTTCATTTATCAGTTGTTTGATCATTTTATTAGTTTCTTTTTTACTTGATATTATGTTTTATTCTTTGTATCTCATTCAATATACCAATTGGAAGATGTACAATGGGCATTAGGCAGGTGATGCATTCTGGTGAAAAGACTTTAAGTTGAGAAACTTGTCTATGAAACCATTGTTTTCAAGGGTTTTCTTTTTTATGTAATTCATGTCGGTACAGGTCATGTTTCTGTTGGGGTTATATAATTTTCGGTCATAGTGATTCAGTTTGCTTTTGAATTTTGGTTCGTTTTGGTCCGATTCATTTAGGTTTGAGGCTTGTGTTTTTTGAGTCAAGTCATTACCGTTTTGATTACTTTGGGAGTTGGTTAGTTTAGGTGTGGGTTATTTTGGGTTACTTCCTTGGGTCACTTCGTGTTTGGGTTATTTGGGATTCAGGTTAAATGGATTTTGATTGTTGACTTTTTTTCTTTCAAATCGGGTTGAAAGGGTTTAGTTTTGGGTTGGTTGGGTCAATTTCTTGGTTTAAACTCAGAATTGACTGGTATATTCTTCAAGCAAGTCAGGCTAAGTTTCATATGATTGAAGTGAGAACCTAAATTGACGCATGGTTTGGTCAGTATGGACTTGGTATCAATTAAATATTTAGGGGACATTTAAGATGGCATGAAGTCGATATCATTGTATCTTGACAAAAATGATATTTAAATATAAAACATAATGAGTCCTGCAATGAAAAGGAAGATAGCTCGAGAATGAACCGGTCTTTTAATATCCCTCAAAAAGTGAAGAATAAAGAGTATCTCCATGTCTTTTGATATCTTTTCCTTGCAAACCTTGAGATGTAGGATGATTCTTAGTTTCTTTATTATTTATTGTCGTGATGGGTAAATAATTGAGGTTATGTTTTAGATACAATTCAGTCATTTTTACTTTGTTATGTCTTGTTTTCATGATTTGACCAGTATGGACCTGGTATTGATTGAATATTTTGGGGCATTTAAGATGGCATGAAGTCAATATCATTGTATCTTGACAAAAAGAATATTTAAATATAAAACAATATGAAACTAGTCTTGCAATGAAAAGTAAGATAACTCTAGAACAAACTGTTCATTTAATATCCCCCAAAAAGTGAAGAATAAGGAGATCCATGGCTTTTGATATCTTTTCCTTGCAAACCTTGAGACGTAAGATGATTCTTAGTTTTTTTATTATTTATTGTCGTGATGGGTAAATAATTGAGGTTATGTTTCAGATACAATTCAGACATTTTTAGTTTGTTATGTCTTGTTTTCATGATGTTAAGCTAGGGTGACGTGGTGCAGAAAAAAATAAAATATGGTAGAATTCAAATTGTTAACTTGGGAAATAGCTTTGAGTAACTATTTCTATGCTGTATTTTATTTTTGCTTCTATTTTCTAGTTTCAGCAAAGAGAAAAACATGGCAATTTTTTTAATGGTTATTTTCTTTTTGCTTTCTTTCTCAGATTTGCTCTGGACATTGATCTTGATGCTCCCAAAGTTAGGATTCCTCTGAGGAAACATGCGTCTTCCAAATATCAGAGCTATTTTCTTTTGGATTTTGGTCATTTTACATTGCATACCATGGTATGTGTATTAACTATTGACCTCTCAAATTTCCATTAATTAAAATTTATTTGCTTAAACAATTAATCATTATGGCAGGAGAGTCAGTCTGATGAACAGAGGCAGAATATATATTCTCGTGTGTACATATCTGGAAGGGATATTACTGCTTTTTTTGCAGATTGTGCTTCTGATTGCCAGAACTACACTTCTGGTGAACCAAGTTCTAGTAATCAATCAATCTTGATGTCTCCTGGGTTGGAGAAGTCTGGCAATTTCTATTCTCTCGTTGATAAGTGTGGAATGGAAGTAGTTGTTGATCAGGTATGATTTATTTATTTTTAGTTCTTATGCAACAATATCACTAGATTTTCATTTTGAAATTCTAGAACTCTCATCATTTCTACTTGTGTATTGGTATTGCAGATTAAATTTCCTCGCCGGGGTTACCCGTCAATGATTGTGTCTGTCCAAGTACCAAATCTTGGCATTCACTTCTCTCCAGCAAGATACTGCAAGCTTATAGAACTGTTGGACATATTATATGTTGCTATGGACCCCTGTGTTCAGCCTGCTGGTGTTGATTTGCAAGCTGGACTGACTCCTTGGAGTGTTGCAGATCTTGCTACTGATGCTAAAATCCTAGTTTGGCGGGTTTGCTCTTAACTCCATTGTTAAAGCTAGATCTATACTGGTACTTGACTGTATGCACTGATTTTAACCATAATTAACTTTGTTGGTTCAGGGTATTGGAAACTCTGTTGCTTCATGGCAGCCCTGTTTTGTTGTATTATCTGGATTCTATCTTTATGTATTGGAATCTGAAAAATCTCAGAACTATCAGCGGTACTTAAGGTGTGGGGCTTTCCTTTTCTCTTTGACTTTGTTACTTGGTTAATTGGTGTTAATCTGTAGGATGGTAGTTTTGCAGCCTCAATTTTCTTGAATTTACCTGATATCCTTTTTTTCTTTGATAGCCCCAATGCCATTTTTAGGAAATCTAATCTAAATGTTACTTTTGGAATCCTGCAGCATGGCTGGAAGACAAGTGCATGAGGTTCCATCAGAAAATATTAGTGGCTCCCCATTTTGTATTGTTGTGGGTCCAAGAGGAATGGACACTAAGAAGGTGGGCGATTTAGCATTGTAACTAATGACAAGTAATGTTTTTTTTTTTTGCAAGATACTTCATTAAACCGAACTAGAATAATCCCTGCCTCTCTGTTATAGTGTTGTCTGAAAGTACTATAGGTGTGTGTGTGTGTTTTTTTTCCTCCCTTTCTATATTTCGTGTGATGTTGTTTGGGAACTTTGGAACAAGATAGCAAGCTTTTGGGATATAGCCTTAGTCCTTCCAAAGGATCCACCTTCTTTGCTATGTTCTTGGGGTGAGCTGAGGGGGAAATCGTTGATTTGGAAATTTATCCCGGGAGTAGTATTTTGGTCGATTTGGAAAGCTAGGAATGCAATGGTGTTCGAAGGTTCCCCCTTGGATAGGATGTCTCTGTTTTTTATTGCTAGATTCAGGTTATCTAAATGGTTTCTAGCCAAGTATCCTAAGTTTCCTATTCAGGAGGATGTGCTGATTGGTGATCCATCTCTTGCAGATGGTATTAAAGCTCTCAACATTAACAATTTTCAAGTTTCTCGCTGGATTCCACCCCCTATGGATTTTTTGAAGATAAATGTCGATGGAGCTGTTAGACTAGATGGCTCAAATGGAGGTATAGGAGGTATTTTGAGAGACTGGAATAGTAATTCCCTTCTGACATTTTCAGAAAATGTAGGTCAGGGTCCCCCGCCGGTTGCTGAGTTAAAGGCTATTAAGAGAGGCATTGAAATCTATATGTCTTCTTGTTGGGTTAAGGTTGGAAGGTTGATTGTGGAAAGTGACTGTAAGTCGGCTGTGGAATGGGCCCATACCCCAGCTTTGGCCCCTGTTTTTATCCTCCCATAGTTAAAGAGATTTCATCTTTTATCTCGGACAGGGTGCACTCAATTAGACTGATTCCAAGGGTGTGTAATGGGGAGGCTAACAGGTTAGCAAAGATGGGAATTGGTTGATGTTTAGTCGTTTCCAGTGCGTTGTATCGTTTGAGTTTAGGTTTTTGGTTGTCTGTTGAGTAGCTTAGTCTGTTGTGTTTTTTCAGTATGGTGTTTATGTTAAATCTTATGAAATTTCGGAGGAGTAATAAAGTTTCTAAGGAACTCTTTTCCTCCTTTAATCAAGAAGGAGGTTTTTAAGGAGGCCTGTCATTCTTATCAAAAAAAAAAAATTCTTGAAGATTTTAATTAACACATTCATGTTGGGTTTTGATTGCTTTGAAAATCTTCTAGCTTGTTCATTCATGGTTATTAAACTCACAGATCCTAAGTTATCTATGGTAAGTACATTCTGAAATGCTTTGCAAGTTATCTCCCTTCCATTTATCAGTTTCCATGAAGTTCAAAAGTTTTAATATAAAGGTTCTTGCTACCTTCTTTTTCCCCTTAAACCTTCAGTATTTAACATGATAGCAAGAATCAACAATGATTAACGAATTCTATATCAAGAACTTTTTTTTTGATAGAAATTACAGGCCTCATTAAAAACCCCCTTCTTGATTAAAGGAATTCTTGGGAAAGTTCCTTAATCATTGGAGGGAGGAAAAGAGTGCCTTAGGATTTTATTGATCAGGGACTCATTACATAAAATACAACCAAGACACACTGTCAAAGCCATAAAAATTACAGAATATTTAAACAAAACTCCCTAAACGACCAAACCTTCCTTAAACAATAACAAAACTTTCCCAGCCCCTTCAGCCTCAATAGACCAAGAACCTGCTAGAAAACCTCTATGACACTTAATAATATTCAACCAATCCCCTATTTAGCTAGAGAATAAGCCTCACAATTGCAACTCCTCGGGATATGTCTAATAATGATTTCCCTCTCCAAGATTATGAAAGCAATTTTTTGAACCAACGAACTAAGAAAACGAGGAGATGTAGTCGGCAACAAAATCCAATCCACCACTGACTTACAATCACTTTCTATAATTAACCTTCCTTTCAATGCCCAATCCGTCGAAAGGAAGAAATCAATGCCTTTCTCAATGGCTTTCAGCTCAGCGAGTGTAGGGGGACCTGGACCAACAACGTGCGAGAAAGACCCTAGAATTTTACTATCCGAGTCTCTTAAAATGCCCCCAATACCCCCCAGCAGCCCATCCCCACTAACTGCCCCATCAACATTAACTTTAAAAAAATGAAGTGGAGGATAGAGTTTAATTCTACTGATAATTCTTAAAAAGGTTCATTGTATGTTGCCTTCATACGGCATTAAGGATTTGTGGTATATTTGCTTTTCTTTTTGGCTATCACAAAATAGTTTTATCAATAACTAGCACATATTTGGGTGGTAAAGATTAATTTATGAGTAGTATTTATGGAAAATAGATCTTAAAGAAAAATAAAACAATTAAAATCAGATGAACCTATATGTCATAAGATTACTATGCATTTATTGTGTGCTTCATAAAAGGAGACTGTCTATGGTAGTGAGTTCTTGTTTCTCTCGGTATTAGTGTGGATTCTTATATTGTATGTTGGATTATAAGATTAAATTATTTACTCATCATCTATTATGAGCTTATTATTAGACAGACAAGTTTTTTCCTACGAATAATGTCTAGAGTCACTTTGCTCCCTATTGGAGCAATCTTTGCAATTTCTAGTGGTTCAGAATGGGTGGTTTTCGTCGATAATCTCAGCATAAGGGTTTCTAGAAGAGCTATTTGGGAACTATTCAACCATCATGGTGATGTGAAGGTTTTCATTCCTTTATTAAACAGAAGGTCAAAGTACAAGTATTCTACTTTCGCCTTTGTTCATTTTGGTTGCCAGGAAGACATGGCAAATGCCATAGCGAAGGTTAACAATACGATGATCGATCAGAAAAGGGTTTCAGTTAGTGTAGCAAAGTTCGCGAAAAAGGATTCTGGAGCAAGTCGTGGGTTGGCAGTTGGAAGGTCAAGGAATAACTTGAACGTGCAGATTAGGAACGCCGACAACAAAAGGGAGTTTTTCAACAAGTTTAACGATAAAGGGTCATATAAAGAAGCATTGACAACAGAAGGGAGTTTTTCATCAAGTTTATCGATGGAAGGTCATATAAAGAAGCATTGACAAGTCCTTTCTCCTCAAGGTCTTGTCATGAATGCCAACCAGTAAACCCCACCGACTCGCCAAAGTTGTGAAGAAGGTTTCATGCTAACAATTTAAAGGAACTCCGCTTAGCTCAACAGAGCAATATGCCATTGGAACACAAATCTCCATCACCAGCCGATTAGTCCATTCAAACCAGTAAGATAATTCATCTTTTTTGTTCTGCCACGCCTCCTTCAAGCTCTCCTCCGAGGAGAAAATTATTATGCAAGAGTTCCATGCATAACCTTGAGGAGAAAAGACTTGTCAATGCTTCTTTATATGACCTTTGGGGCCCACTGGTATGTGTGATCCACAATAGTGAGACGAGAGGCCTGAAGAATGAAAAGGTTGAGGCTGCAATTAATTTAATCATAGAGGGTAGATTGGGCCAACTTCTAAGGAGCAGTTGTTGGGAGGGGATATTAATGTGGGTGATTATATCAACTCTTTGGAAGAGAAATGGTATTTTTCAGACAACTGGTGCTCTTGTGATAGAAAACGTGGATCACTTGGACACGGGGATAAGGTAGATGGTGCGAGTATGAGTCAGAACAACTCTTTGGAAGATTTAGGAGATGAAAGTGATATTAGCGAAGACGGTGATATTAATCTTCAGGTTTCAACAGAGAATCAAATTCAAATAATTCCTTTTGAAGGGAGACCATCGGGAGATGATTGATTTTTTAAAGTCCGTGGGAAAGATACTAGAAGAAATAGAAGAATGATGATAAGGGATGCACTAGACCAGGTCAGTACTTCTACTGTTTCTTCCTTTTCCTTCTCGGTGTACTTGGAGGAAGCCTTGGCTACATGGGAAATTAGTAAGTTGCTGGGAATCTCTTTTAAGGATGGGAAGAAGGCTTTTCTGGAGAAAATAAACAACCTTGAGAAAGGGTCGGGAGGAGATAGGGAAAAATAATCCCCTAGTGTCTTTTAGTAGGGTTTTCTTGTTATTTTTCATAATGCCAAAATTATCCATCGTCACTTGGAATATAAGGGGCCTGGGAAGAAAAGAGAAACGTGCAGTACAGAGCTTGTTATCTAAGAAGAATCCGTCCTCTCTCTTTTTACAAGAAATCAAGGTTGACATTTCACTGCAATCTGTCTTAAGAAGAATTGGGGGAAAGAATCTACAGGGTTACGTGTTTTCTCCAGCTGAAGGATTGGCAAGAAGGTTGCTGAGTTGTTGGGATGAAAATATTTTTGAAGTCAAAGAACAATTTGTAAACAAAAGCTTCATTGCCATTTTTGGGCAATTTAGAGAGAACCAATTCAATTGTGGTTTCATCAATGTGTACGGGCCGACTATGGAGGATGAGAAATAAGTTTTTTTTGAAAAGTTATCTTTCTACCTGGGTAGTTAGAGGATTCCTTTATGTGTGTGTGGTGATTTCAATGTGTACTTATCTCAAGAAGAGAAAGAAGGCATATCTCAAAATTGGAATTCGATGGAGCTTTTTAGGTCCTTCATTCATTAATTAGGTCTTATGGACCTTCTTCTAATCGGGGGAAATTTCACATGGTGTAATAACTTGGAGATCCCAACTTTTGTAAGGCTTGACATGTTCTTGGTTGATGTAAATTTTATGATTGCTTTCCCAGATATCACTCAGTATCTTCTCCCAAAATCAATCTCAGACCACAATGTTGTTTTACTTAGAATGGTGGTGTCAATTGGGGTAAGGGACCTTTTAAATTTTTAATTACTTAATGGAGGACGAGAGTTTTGAAGAGATGGTGCAATCGACAATCATAGATCATAAAAGAAAAAAAAAAGAAAAGAGCAAGAATTTTAAGCACCTTGAGAAGAACTAAAGCAGCCATAAAAGATTGATATGGAAATAGAGATATGCAACCGGTTGATTAAATTTCTGTTGTAGAGGGGAAAATACACAATCTGGAATGAGAAGTATAAAAGAATCTTGATTCGTCTGGTATAGTCACTTTATTGGCTGAACTGAGGAAGGAATTATGGAGACTGTACAAAATTGAGAGCAAATTTGGTACCAAAAATCTAGATCTAAATGGGTGAAAGGAGATCGAAATTCCAGATTCTTCCATATATGTGCATCTAATAGAAAGAGAACGACTTCTATGGTTGCTCTGAGGGTAAAGGGTAATCCCATTCAAGAACCTTCACTCATTAAGGCAAGTGTTCGAGATCAATTTTTTTGAGATTTATAATTCTAGATCGACTTCGAAAGTAGAAGATATGGAGCTGAATTTCGCCAAAATTACCTTGGAACAGTGCCTATTGTTGGAAAAGGAATTATCGGAGGAAGAAATATGGGAAGCTATTAATTCTTGTGATAGCAACAAAGCTCCAGGGCCAGATGGTTTGAATATAGGGTTTTTAAAAAGTTTTGGTCATTCCTTAAAGAATTCATAACGAAATTCTTTAAGAATTTTTTCTCGAGAAAAGCTTGGGAGCATGGACTCAACCATACTTTCATTACTCTCATCCCGAAGAGATCTAATCCAGAAAGTCTAGATTACTACAGACACATCAGTTTGGATGGAGGAATGTATAAGATACTCTCGGAGTGTCTCTCAAGAAGGTTAAGAATTTGTATTAGCGATATAATCAATCCCTCCCAATTCGCTTTCATTCCAGGTCGTCAAATTCTGGATTGCTCTTTCATTGCCAATGAAGGGAAGGTTATTGGAGGAAAAAAGTCCTCAAGGGAGTTGTGTTCAAGATGGATTTTAGGAAGGCTTATGACACAATGAATTGGTAAATTTTGCTCAAAGTTATGGAGAAAATGGGCTTTGGGTGAGATGACGTAGTTGGATGAGTAAATGTGTTTCTTCGACTTCTGTCTCGATTTTGGTAAATGGTGTCCCTACTGAGGAATTTCCAATGGCTAAGGGACTTAGACAGGGATGCTCTCTCTCTCCATTGCTCTTTAATTTGATTGGGGAAATCCTTATTTTATTTCTATTGAAGGCAGATTCTATTGGGGTGTTTTGTGGTTTGAATATTGGCGGGAATGAGGGATCCTTTAAACTGTCGCATATGTAATTTGCAGACGATCTCATAATTTTCTGCAATGCTTCGTAGATTCAGATTAGAAATGTGAAAAGAGTATTACATGTTTTCGAAATTATGCTCCAAAAGCAAATTATTTGGTATTAATACAAGCGAAGAAGAGGTGAAAGATTGGGCGTCTTCTATCGGCGTGCAGTTGGTACCTTTTTGTCTGATTACCTTGGTCTTCCGCTTGAAGCTAAGAGAAATTCAACAATTTTTTTGGAACATGTCATTCAGAAATTTTACAGTAAACTTGCTGGTTGGAAGGCAACATCTCTCTCTTTGGCTGGAAAACTGGTTCTGCTAAATGTTGTTTTATGTTCTCTCCCAACTTATTTCTCAATTTTTGAGATCCCATCCAGTGTGAACAAGAAGCTTAATTCCATAATGGCAAGATTCTTATAGAGGGAGGAATCAGAAAGGAATAAGATACATTGGGTAAATTGGATGACTGTATGCAAATCTAAAGCAAATGGAGGTCTAGGAGTGAGAGATCTCAATTTAATGAATAGAACCCTTTTAGGGAAATGGTCTTGGAAGTTTGCAAATGAAAAGGACTCTGAGTGGAGGAGGTTGATTTGTAGTAAATACAATTTAGATAAAAGTTCGTTGCTACTCGATAATCGAATACCAACTCAGGCTTCCTGGATTTGAGATCTGTGTTGAATAATCATTTTAAAAATGATTCTTTTGGCTCCAGATTTTGCAACCATTTTCAAATCAGGTTGGAAAATGGCAAGAATATTAGTTTTTGGCATGACATTTGGGTTATGGGACCCCCTCAAAGAATTTTTCCCTAGGCTATTTGCCCTCTCTACTAATCAAAATGGAAGGATACTGGAGTTTGGTGAATTTGGAGCTTCTATCTAGTTTTGGCTTGTAAAGATGAGAAGGAATTTGAGTGATTGAGAGTTAGATCAGTGGGTCAAATTGTTGGTAACAATTAATAATATAAGTCTTGTGGAAAATTCGAGAGATGGTCTAATTTGGAGAGGAAATGGGGATGGTCTTTACTCAGTAAGATCTTGTATAAAAACTTGCTCCATCGAGTTGGATTCATATCATTTTTGGAAAAGTTATCTTTGGAGGGGTTTGGTGCCTAAGGGTGGAGACTTTCATGTGGCAAGCAATTCATCAATAATTGGTTGTAAGGGCTGAATTAATAAAGAGAGGTGTTGTTGGGATATTGGATCCACTGTGCCCTCTATGCAAGCTGGAAATAGACCTATTCGCATTTACTCTTGTCCTGCACTGCTGTGCACAGATTGTGGAATAGGTTTATGCATTTGTGGAAAATTTCGGCTGTTATACATGAAAATGCGTACTGTTTTCTTTCAGCTTGGGAGGAGTTGGTGCCTCATTCAACTATTTGGAGATATATTCCCGGTGTAGTTATGTGGATGATTTGGAAATGTAGGAATGCCATTGTTATCGAGAAGGGCGTGTTCGATCCGGTTCAGTTGTTTTTCACAGCAAGGTTCACATTTGCAGCTTGGTTGCTAGCAAAATTCACTAATATTCCCATTTCGATGGATTCCCTCATCCCCTCTCTTGGAGACCTGTGCTTTGTCTCAAAAAGTCAGCTAGCAAATCAGATTTCCTGGTCCCCTCCCCTTGTGGGGTTTCTAATATTGAATGTGGATGTTGCTGTCAAAGGTGATTGGAAGGGAAATGGTATAGGTGGGATTCTAAGAGATAGCTCCGACACAGTGCTAGGATCATTTCAAGAAACTGCTGGTCCAGGTCCTCCACCTTTAATGGAATTGAAGGCCATTAAATCTGGTTTAATTTTTTTGAATCTTCTAGCTGGTGCTTTAAGGGGCGGCTGATTATTGAGAGCGATAGCAAGTTCTGTGTGGAGTAGTTTAAGAACTTGGATACGTGCCCAAGTATGTATGCTTCAATTTCTAAAGAATTTGCAGATAAGATCAGAAATTTGGAGGGTATTCTACGTTGGATAGCTAGGCGAGCAAACTTAGAGGCAGACGTTTTAGCTATGGCAGTAATAGGTTAAGATAGGGTGTTTTGGTTGGGTTTTGTTTTTTCTCTTCTTTTGTTTTATGTTTACTGTACTGGGTTAAAAGTTTGGTTGTACTCGTATGCTTTGTATTATTCTTTTAATTAATTAAATTTGACGTACTCTTTTCCTCCTTCCGATGTTTACTGGAATACCCTATGGAGTTCTAGAAATTATGAAGGGGTTTTTAACGAGGCCTCCATTTCTTATCAAAAAAAATGATGAGCTTATTAGTTGTAATGCTTTTACAAGCCAATGTGAATCAGTGTTTGGTTATCTATATGGAAAAGCATAACTTGCATTTTCTTAATTTTGTGTAGGTAAAACAAAATCGTTACCGTGCTTGATTTTATATCATGCACACTGTTATACCTATGCTTTATGTTCTTTTGCTTTCTGATGATCTTGAATAATTGTTCTTTCCTTGTTTCTGACATGAATGTCTTCTCCAGGCTTTAGAGTCTTCAGGTACCTGGGTTATTGAGTTTCGAGGGGAGGAAGAGAAGACAACTTGGTTGAGGGGACTTATACAAGCCACATATCGAGCTTCTGTATGACGATTATATAAAATTTCTTTCTCATTCCTTGTATTTATTTATTTTTCTAGGTTTTTATTACTTTGTATTCATGTAGGCTCCTCCATCTGTTGATATACTTGGAGAAACAAGTGGTGGTATCAGTGAGTCTGATGATCCTCAAACAAGTGATTCGAAAGCTGCCGACCTTGTTATTAATGGGGCTGTTTTGGAGACCAAATTATGCCTATATGGAAAGGTTAGTGGTTATATGATTCTAAAAAAATGATGGATTTGTGCTAGAACTTTAGGCATTTAATGAATATTTTTGTTTTAATGTCCGGTACAATGTTTACTTATTGAGAAACCAAATTTTACACCATTTTGTAGACAAGCGAGGTTGTTGCAGAGAAACTAGAAGAGCAACTGATTCTTGAGGTTCTTGCTAGTGGTGGAAAGGTTTGCAACTTTCTGTTACTATTTGGCATTATCTTGTGGTGGTATAATGTAAACCAATTTGGAATTTCTAATGCAATAAATTGTTGAGGTTCATTATGGCATGCATGTATACGAAGGGAGTTTTTAATGAGACCTCCAACTTCTATCAAACAAAATTATGGCATGAATGTGTAGCATCAAAATATCTGAGAAAGTTAGGTTTATTCTATTGTCATCTAGGGTGCTACATCTTTGAATTGTAGTGATGATTGAAGAAACCATCCTATCCCTAATATTACCGCGTGGTATGATAAGGATGGAACTTCATGGAGTAAAATATGCTCCAAATTTATTTACAATAATCTGGAGGACACCTCTCCTTTTATTGATGTAAAACTGGAAAAAGTAGCAGTAAACATCCTGCCATCGTGCTTGTAACTCTTACTGGCATAGTAGGTGCAGATGACATGTGAACACTATTGCTCTTAGAATAACTCTTATTGAACCATGGAAGAATTGCAGTGGGAGCAGTTTATTCACTTTAAGCTCTGACATAGATATTTTGTAGGCCTCATTGGTGATTTATAGCTTGCTGTCATACTGGAAGCTTTTTCCAACGGCCTTGAAAAGGGGATCTATCATTTTTTCTTTAGCAATTTCGAATTCATAATATGCTCTTCCGGTTCTCTTTTAGGGATATTTATCTTGTGTATTAAGCTTGTTATTGTAAATTCTGTCCACCCAATCATCCCAGAGTTGAATAACATCTCGTTGCTTGTGGTATTGTTCAAACTGGGCTTGCCGGTTCAGTCACACCAACAGTGTTAGTCTTCCCCTTAATGATTGAATGCGAAGAAGCAATAACAAATGTTCATTTGTCCCTCCATCAGCGAGCCACAATGCCACTCTGTTTAGGCCTTTGAATTTTCTTTTGGTCTATTTGTTGCTATTACCTATTCATCAATATCTTCTAACAGGTGACAATGATTAGTTTGGGAAGTGACCTAATGTTGAGGACAAAGCTGCATTCTTTAAAAATAAAGGATGAGTTTCAAGGTCGTCTGTCAGGCGATACACAGTACTTAGCATGCTCTGTGCTGAAAAATGACAATTCACTTCAATCCCATCAAACTTGTGGTTCGCTTGGAAATCAGATGTCTGGGTATCACCCAGATGATGATGATATTTTCAAGGATGCTCTGCCTGAATTTATGTCTCTGACAGATCCCGGTGCTCTCTCACATTATATGGATATGAATGATCCTTCTGGATTTGATGAAAACAATTTGTTTCAAGGAAAGGGAGTTTCTGGAGAGATATTTTATGAAGCTCAAGCTGATGAAGAATTGGATTTTGTATCTGTTAATTTCTCAAAGAGGGGTTCTGGTTCACCATTTTATGAAGGCATAGACACACAGGTATTTAAAATTTGCATCATTGATTTTCAGTTGAATATCCTTCACTTGAGTGAATTACACAACTAATTGGTTCAGTTGAAATCATCAGATGAGTATTCGCCTGTCCAAGATGGAGTTTTTTTGCAACAGACCCACTCTGGTTGCTTTGATTGGTTTTGGCTTAGATTTAGGCTCTATGAGTTCTGCAGCAAGTGATACAGATGTAAATGAAGCTTTGGATGATGAATCTTTGATGAATAAAGAAAAGGCTGAAGAAAGTGGTCGTGTTGATGGGTTACTAGGCCATGGTAAAACTCGTGTTGTATTCTATTTGAACATAAATGTTGACAGTGTCACTGTGTTTCTTAACAAGGAGGATGGATCTCAGCTGGCAATGTTTGTGCAAGAAAGTTTCCAGTTACATCTTAAGGTGAAGTGCAGCATCTTTTTAACCACCCAATAATGCTTTGTATCTTCTGGTTTCTCTGTTGCAATAGAAATTTGATTCTCATATTTATTTTGATTTTGTTACATTTAGTTTTTGATAGAACTAGAGTAGGCTTCATTAAAAACCCCCTTCATAACCTCCATGTTACAACAGTAACGTGAAGGACATTGGAAGGAGGAAAAGAGTGCCTAAGAATTTATTAATATAAGAATAATACAAAGACAGATCCTTACAAACTTCTGTTACAACATAACACTTAAACACCAAACTAACTACACTAATAAACCCAACTCAGAAACAGAAAAACCTAAACACACAACCTATAAATCAACCTATTCCTTCTTTAGCTAATTTATCTGATTCCCAATTAGCAGCTCTCAAAATATGCCTAATAATATCTTTACTATCCACTAGGGAAGCAATATCTTTCACCAAAGACATTTTTTTTATAGAAATAGGAGGCCTCATTAAAAACCTCCCTCATAAATAACCCTTTCCTAACAGAAAGGATCAAGTAGTGGAGGGAGGAAAAGAGTGCCTCATTTTATTACTTAACCAGAATTACATAAGCCTTAACAGTTACATCCGAAGAGATTACATAAGACTTTACAACTTCACCTACTTCAAAATCCTACTGACCATAAAATGAAACATACAACTAAAATCATATAATCAACCTATCCCCTTCTTTGCTAAACTATCTGCCTCCCCATTACAAGCCTTGGAATCAACCTAATTAACACCACCTTTTCAGAAATGATCAACAAAATTTCTTTAACTAAAGGCAATATGAAAACTGGAGCCAAAGAGGGGGAATGGATCCACTCCACAGTTGACTTGCAATCGCTCTCAACAACCAACCTATTGACAGTAGACCAACGTGATGCCAAAAAAATTTCAATACCTCTTTTAATAGCCTTTAATTCAGCAACTGGTGGAGGACCTTAGCCAATATTCTCTGAAAAAGTCAGAAGAGTACAGCTATTCCAGTCTCTTAAAATGCCTCCAATACCTCCAGCCGAGTCATTTAACCTTAGCTCCATCAATATTCATCTTCAAGAAATCAATAGGGGGAGGGAGCCAGCAAATCATAGAATAATCCTTAGGTTTAGGAACAGAAATACCATCAGCAAGTGACGGATCCCTAATAAGCAGATCCTCTTGTATATGGAATTTAGGATACTTAGCTAGGAACCATTTGGATAGCCTAAATCTCACGAGGAAAAAGAGAGACAGCCTATCAAGGTTTAATCCTTCAAACACAATCGCATTCCTTGCTTTCCAAATAGACCAAAAAACAACTCCCGGGATAAACTTCCAAATCAATGAATTTACCCTCAAATTCCCCCACGAGATAGTAAAGAAGCAGGGTCCTGTGGTAACACTATAGATAAATCCCAGAATCTAACCACACTATTCCATAATTCCCACACTACAAAACACGTAATAAACAAGTGTTGCACTGATTCCTCATGTTCCTTGCAAAACGGACAGAGGATATCTTCTTCTAAAGATATTCCTCTTCTCGTTAACTCCACTTTAACTGCAACTTTCTGATGAGCTAACTGCCAAAGAAAAGCTTCAACACGAGGCGGTGACAAACCCAACCACACCCCTTTTGACCACAAATCATTACCCCCATCTTCCCCTCCAAGAGCTTTCCTGCACGATTTTACTGAGAATAACCCATCACCACTTGCAGACCAAGAGAGAAAGTCTTCAACCGCATCAGTGAGTTTTATATCTTTTAACTTCACCATCAAATCCATCCATTGATCCAATTCCCAATCCGACAAATTCCTCCTAGTAAGAATGTTCCATACCCAACCATTCAACTCAAAACTTCCAAATTCAGCAACCTTACCCCATTTGTTAGTAGAGAGTGCAAAAATTCTAGGGAAAAGATTTTTTAGAGGAACCTCATCCACCCATGAATCAATCCAAAATGATATGGACTTTCCATTTCCTACTTGTAACTTCGAAAAAGATCTGAGACACTCTCCCCCCGAATCATTCCTCAAAAAATTATTAGCAATACTTCTCAAATTTCAAGAAGATTTTAGAGAGATAACCTTACTAATAGACATAGCATTGCAACTAACCTTTTGCTTGCTACATAACACTCTTTTCCATAGGGAATTCTTTTCGTTTGCAAACTTCCACGCCCATTTTCCCAACAATGCTCGATTAGAAAGATTCAAGTCAAGAACCCCTAGGCCACCGCTGTTCAAAGGTTTACAAACAGTACTCCAACTAACCTAATGAATCTTCCTTTTTTCCGCACTGTCACCCCACAAAAAACTGGCCATTAAAGAATTTAATTTCTTCCCAACTTTGCAAGGCATTTTAAAGAATGATAGGAAAAAAATTGGTAGGGAAGATAACACAGACTTCAACAAAACTGTCCTGCCAGCCAACGAAAGACAAGAGGCTTTCCACCCAGCTAGTTTGGAGTTAAAATTTTTAAAGACTGGATCCCATAAGGCTTCAAAATTCATCTTAGCACCGATTGGAAGTCCCAAGTAATCTGTGGGAAAGCAATCAACAGAACAACCCACTTCCAATGCCTAATCTGATAAGATATCCTCATCAATGTTAACACCAAAAAGTATAGGAGGACTACTCCCAATCCTCTCAGAAAACGAACCAAGCAACAAACCTTCAGAATCCCTTATCAAACCACCTATGCCTCCTTTATCCCACCCCTTAGACATCGCACCATCTACATTTAATTTTACAAACCCTGAAGGAGGAACCCAGCACGAGGAGGAAGTACAACCCTTCTTCTTTCTTCCCACAAAATCTGTTAGTCTAATATCACCCACTAGGGAATCAAAATAAATCTGCACATCTTTAAATCTCACCACAAACCATGAAGCAATTCTAAAACGAACAAGGAAGAACAACAACGTACCATCCACCTTCCCTTTCTCAAAAATTATTTCATTTCTACACTTCCAAACCGACCACAACATCGCCCTTGGAATGAATTTCCAAATAATGGAGCTCGGAACTAGATCATCCCAAACTGTGATGAATGCAAACAAACTCTGAGGAACCACAAAGGAGACATTCCAAGAAATCAAGAATCTATTCCACAAACCCCATAATGCAAGAAAAGATGAGAAACCGACTCCGCACACTTTCCACACAACGGACAGAACGAGTCATCAATCCCTATCACTCCTCGCTTCAACAATTCCTCTCTAACTGCCACTCTCTGATGTACAACCTACCAGACATGTTTCCACACGGGGCGGAGCAACCCCTACCCAAACAAGGCTGTCCCAAGAATCTTCATTATCCTCATTACCAACCCCATAAAAATCTCTCTTAATGCATGATTTAGCTGTAAAACAACCCTCCCCATTCCCTGTCCATTCCCAACAATCTTCTTGAAAAGATGACAATGAGATACTATTCAACAAGGACATAAGCTGGAGCCATTGTTCCACCTCCCAATCCACCAAATTTCTTCTCAATTGAATATCCCACCAACAGCCTGAAGAAGAATTCACCCGAAACTCTGCAACTTTACCCCCTTTATTAATCGAAAGAGCAAATATCCTAGGAAACCGATCTTTTAACGGAATGGAACCCACCCAAGAATCCTGCCAAAAAAGCACAGACTCCCCATTTCCCGTTTTTAAGCTCGATTGTATGTTTAAATTTCTTGTGCATATGCAACTTAAGTTTTGTTTGCACAAATTTCTTGTTTCTGTCAAGTTTTTAAAGCTTTTCCTATTTAGGTCTATCCAACATCCCTTTCTATTGAAGGCACATTGGGAAATTTGAGACTTCGTGATATGTCACTTGGTGCGGATAACTTCTTAGGTTGTTTATGTGATATACGTTATCCAGGGGTTGAATCCCTTATAAAGGTGCGTTGTTGTGTCCTCTAATATATGTTTGCTGGCATATAAGGTTGCATACGTGTTTACTTATTTCACACTTTTCCTTTCTCCAGTTCAAATTTATTTCTTTTGGTGCTGGAGATGATGATTATGAAGGGTATGATTACAGCTTGTTTGGGCGACTTTCTGCTGTTCGAATTGTTTTCCTATATAGGTTTGTTCAGGAGGTATGCTGGGATACAGTTTGAATTGTATGCAGTTTTAGCATTTGCATAATTTATTATTGTTAACATTTTAACATTTGAAGTTTACTTATTCAGAAATAGCAATTTAATATTTTTGAATTGCTCTAAAGCCTAGATGTTCACTTTTTCATAACATATTCCTCATGTTCGATATCCTGTGTCTATAAATAACTGGAAACTTGATTATGCAGATAACAGTTTATTTCATGGAGCTTGCCACCCCACATAGTGAAGAAGCAATAAAACTAGTTGATAAAGTTGGTGATTTTGAGTGGTTAATTCAGAAATCAGAAATTGATGGGACCACTGCTTTGAAGCTGGATCTCACACTTGACAATCCTATAATTATAGTTCCAAGGAATTCAATGAGCAAAGAGTCAGTTTATACTCCATTAGCTCTTGTTATTTAGTATTCATTCGATTGGCCAATTTCTCTAAAAGTTTTCCCTAAAAAGTTTCAATTCTGTATAGTAAAAAATTGAAAGATTGAGAACTGCTTTCCTCTGATCTGTTTACTTTATGGCAATTCATATGGGCATAAATTTACATGGGATATATAATTAACTATTTACTTGTCAATATGATTGATGTTTTTCTTGAACTGTGAGTAACTTTCAGTTGGCTTTGTAGCATTATCAGCACATTTATTGGTCTTCCTACGCAGCCCCCCCCCCCAAAAAAAAAGGAAAAAGAAATCTCTTTGAAAGTATTTTTGTTTCTATTTCTTAAGTCTAAGTTTGAATGTCATTAGACCTTTCATGTGTTCTTTTCTCTCTACTTATTCTTCATAAACTTTTTATTTGGGATAAGTAAAATGAAAAGCAGCGCATTGAGCCTGAATATACTGAAAATTGACTGCCTTGCTTCCATCCTATGTAGCCAAATTTTGTTTCATGCCTAAGAATGTACATATAGGACTTTTAAGCTAGCACTTGATTAGAAGACTATTTTTATTTAGAAAATGAACTTTCCAAGCTTTTTTATTTCTGAATAGTGTGAATATTAGTGATATATTTTCTGCTTGCAGCTTCATTCAACTTGATATGGGTTTGTTAAAGGTCACAAATGAAATAACTTGGCATGGATCTCCTGAAGAAGACCCTTCAGCTGTTCATCTCGATATTCTTCATGCTGAGGTATATTCCTTATGTTTATACAGTGTCACAAGTTTGAGTATTAAGCTATGGTTAAATTTGTGTTAAATGTGCAGATTCTTGGGTAAACATGTATGTGGGAATTGATGGTTGTATTGGTAAGCCTTTGATTCGTGAAGGTAGAGGACTCATGTTTATGTTAGACGGAGTTTGAGGGATGTCTTTAGAAAAGTCCCAACATTTTCTTTGGAAGTTAAGGTATTCCTTGAACTTGATATTTTTGGTCTTCTATAATTGTCAAAGTATTGTAGTGGCTGCTTCATTTTGTTAGATTGATGTACTTATAAGAGTTGAAGGCCTCGTTAAAAACCCCCCTTCATGATTAATGGAGCTCGTAGAGAAGCTCCTTAATCAGCGGAAGGAGGAAAAGAGTGCCTTATATTTCATTAATATCAAAAAGATACAAAACGATTACAACACCTAGAATGACCCCTTACAAAATAACTGTGATGGCCTTGATGTACTTAGTAATATTGTGTGCATGTGGGTTAATTTCTCTTTCACACTGAAAACTGTGATGGCCATATTTGGCTGCCAGCTTTGAACTAATGGAGGCTACATTATGCGAAAATGTTTTTGCATTATATATTGTCATATACGAGGAGGTATTTCCCTTGCTTTCTTTTTCTTGATTTTAAACTCTTTATATTATTTAGTTTCATTTCTTAAGTTCATACTGTATGTTGATCTCGTTTGATGAATCCTACTTTGTTGGATTGGAGTACCTTGCTAGTGATTCCTTTTTACATTATAATTTTTCAGTTAATTCCTTTTGATGGTATTCTTTGCAGGTTGGTTTCTTGCATGGTGTAATGTCTGATAAAGAATATGATGTTGTTCTGAATTGTACAACTATGAATTTGAATGAAGCCCCAAGCCTCCCTCCAAGTTTCCGTGGCAGCAAATCTGGTTCTGGAGATACACTGCAGCTACTGGTTGAAAAGGTCAACATGAATAGTCAAATGATTCTATCACGTAGTGTAACTATTGTGGCAGTTGAAGTTGATTATGCATTGTTAGAGTTGTGTAACGGCATTCATGAGGAATCACCTTTAGCTCGTATAGCTGTGAGTATTGATATTTACTAATATTATTGTTATTGTTTCTTTTTGGGGCGAACTATTTTGTTTTCTTGTGTTGTGCTCTTGGCTAGGCATGTATTGTTTGTAATTAAGGAAAAACCAATAGCCTTAATTGGATATTTTAATTAACTGAATGTTTTATGGCTTCACTTACACGTAATCTTGATTTTTTCTAGCTAGAAGGCCTTTGGGTATCATTCCGAATGACTTCATTATCAGAAACAGATTTGTATGTGACAATACCCACTTTTTCTGTTCTGGATATCCGCTCTAATACGAAGCCTGAAATGCGACTCATGCTTGGTTCTTCTGCTGATACTTCCAAACAAGCTTCCATTGGGACCTTTCCACACTCCTTGAACAAGAGCAGCTCTAGCAGAGTGAATTCTGAAGCTGGTATTGATGATGTATCAATTTCAACTATGTTCTTGATGGATTACAGATCGCGATTGTCCTCCCAATCAATTGTTCTTCGAGTTCAGCAGCCTCGAGTACTTGTTGTGCCAGATTTCCTTCTTGCTTTGGGTGAGTTTTTTGTGCCAGCACTGGGGGCTATAACTGGAAGGGAAGAAACAATGGACCCAAAGAATGATCCGATAAATAAGACCAATAGCATCGTGCTTTATGATAGTATTTATAAACAGGATGAAGATGTTGTGATCTTGTCACCGAGTAGACAGCTGATTGCGGATACCCATGGTATTGATGAGTATACATATGATGGTTGTGGAAAAACTGTCATTTTAAGTGAAGAGAATGATGCAAAGGAGTCTCATTCTACAAGTTTTCGTCCTATTGTGATTATTGGATGTGGTAAGAGGTTGCGATTTGTCAACGTGAAAATCGAGGTATTTGTGCTTCTAATCTTTTATGTTTTGATTAGATGTCATTTAGCTGCTTTGCGTAAATAAGATGCTAAGAGACATTAACTGGAAATATTTCTGAGCAGAAATGTTTGTTTGTTTGTTTCTTTTTTTTTATTGCTTTTTTTATTATCATAGAAAATAAGCAACCACATAATGATTATGAATAAATTCCTTTGCATTTCACAACTAATCCTAAATGATCACACTAAAGTAGTAAATTAGTAGTAGTTCCATTTTATGTTCTAATCCTGCTAGATCAGAATATTTATGGGCACTCATTTCTTTTTGATTGAAAAGATAGGCCTCATTTAAAACCCCCTTCGTAATTGTCAAGCTACAAAGGTAGCTTAACGGACATTGGAAGGAGGAAAGGAGTGTCTTAAAATTTTATTACTAAAAACCAGATACAACATGAGTATAAAAGACCAAAATATATCCAAACATCACCTACCACCGAACAACAAAACAACCCAGTACATAACAACTAACCAATCCCCAATTTATCATACTCATCTGCCTTGTAATTGGCAGCTCTCTTAATATGCCTAATAACAACACCCCTACTTGACACAATATTAGCAATGTCATTCACCACTGCTTTAAACAAAGGAGTACAAGAAACTGGATTATTGATCCAGTCTAAAACAACTAAATAGTCGGACTCTAAAATTAGCCTTCCCCTTGATGCCCACTCTGATTCCAAAAATAGCTGCAAACCCCTCTTAATAGCCAACAATTCTGCCAAAATTGGAAGACCAGAACCAACTTTCTCAGAAAAAGAATCCAGCATTACACCATTTTCGTCCCGAACCAAACCACCTATACCACCCTTCTGCCAATGACAAAGTGTATGGGCACTGACAAAGTTGTCTTTGCCATCATTTCTCATTTTCTTATTTGCTTGATATGCCTCTAAAGTATGAAATTGATGAATTTTACATTCTGAAAATATGGTTTGACTTCAAGAACATGCTGTTCTTGAATTGTTGTAATGTAGAAAGATGTTCCCCATATAAATAGAGAATCTTATGGCTTTGTCTTATGGTTGCGTTATTTATTGAATGTTGTCATACTCTATATTTATACGCGATGTTTCTTCTACTTGGGTACTTGATGGTCATGACTGAGACTTGCTGTCATATGCAATTTTCTTTAGAATTATCTGTAGTTTAAAAGCATCTTGATTGTAAATGCTATCTTTTTCACCATTTTACCTTTCTATTTTTGAAAACTTCTTCATCAGAATGGTTCGCTTTTGAGAAAGCGTACATACTTGAGCAATGATAGCAGCTATTCATTCTCACCAGAAGATGATGTTGACATATTGTTGATGGATAATATAAGTTCTGATGGAGATATGAAGAAAGCAAAAAATATGGATTTAATAAACTCTTCAAAGGCTTCTTCAGATTTACAAGATAACCAGAATGCTGTGCAGAGTTTCACTTTTGAAGCTCAGGTCGGTGTAATTCCTTAAAATCTATGTATTTTAAATCCTTGATGGAGTGTGAAAGGAAAACCTATAGTTGTTGGCTTCTCACATTAAAGCCTTTATCGTTGGCATTCATATTTTTCCTGATTAGAACTCTGGTTCCACTCTGCTGCAAGCATGTCCTTACCACCCATGCCCCTCTTTTAAAACAATGAATTATGTGATCCTTTTTTTTCAGTTTTATGCTAGTTTTCTCTTCTTTTAAATTCGATAATTAAATAAATGAGTTTTGATCTTAAACTTTTTGTAATGTATCAGCATATGATTATTTGTGCTAATCTAGAACTTCCTTAATTGTTGCTTCAGTGTGAATGTGCTAATCTTAACAATGTTGTAAACCGCACTTCCTAAAAAAAGTAGCGGTGGTTTACAGAGAGCTCCTTGCTTGCTTTTGTTTATGGAACTGAGTTTACCAAATGTCAACATGTTTGTATTTCTGGAAGTATCCGTTTATGGCAGAGTGGCAGTATGGACCTATGTTGCTCGGACTCTACATTCTCATGAATTACTTGTGTCTGACATTTGAATAAGGGGATATGACCTCCAAGGGTCCTCAAAATATATAGAAAAACTTAGAAAATCTTGTCTTACCCGTGTCCGACATTATAGCCGAGTCCGAGTAACTTAGGAATGGACTAGTTGTGTAGCTAGCCTTGACTTTGAGCTTTATCTAATATCTTTCTTAGTTCTCCTTATTGCTAGAGTTCTCAACATAATGATTCTTGCATTATGCTTGCTTTAGTATTATCAATTAGTTTTTTTTTATAAGAATGACAGGCCTCGTTAAAAACCCCCTCTTGATTAAAGGAGCTTGAAATAAAGCTCCTTAATCAGCGAAAGGAGGAAAAGAGTGCCTTAGAACTTTTATTAAAGGAGAACATTTACATAAGATTTAACAATTACACTACAAAACTATCCATAAAACAAAGCCACTCCTCCTGGCAGAAACAAACTACTCACTGAAAACATAAAAACCACATTATAAACCTTACAATCAACCTATCCCTTTCTTAGCTAGATGTCCGCCTCCCCATTGCACGACCTTGGAATCAACCTCACCGAATGAACCTTGCCAGTGATAAGAGTCGAAATCTGATAAACTAGAGGAGAGAAGAAGACAGGAGCCAAAACCGGGGATTGAATCCACTCCACTGCAGAAGAGCAATCACTTTCAACGATCAACCTACCAATAGATTCCCAACTAGATGACAAAAATATTTCAATGCCTCTTTTAATAGTCTTTAATTCAGCAAGCGGAGGAGTTCCTACGCCAACATTCTCTGAAAAAGTCAAAAGGATACAACCATTCCAATCTCTTAAAATACCTCCAATTCCTCCACCCGAACCATCTAATCTGACAGCTTCATTGACATTCAATTTAAGGAAATCGACCGGAGGGGGAATCCATCTAAAAACATCACAAACTTTGTCTTTAGAAGGTGTAACTCCATCTGCCAAAGATGGATTACCAATCAGCACATCCTCATGAATGGAAATCTTAGGGAATTTGGCTAGGAACCATTTAAAAAGCCTGAATCTAACAATGAAAAACAAAGACAATCTGTCAAGAAGAGAACCTTCAAAAACCACAGCATTCCTAACTTTCCAAATAGACCAAAGGATCTCTCATATGAACCCAATGTAACAGTTTCCTGGATGTCAAAAGGACTGGCCACCCTCAGCAAAACCCGAGCCACCGCCAAATCTTCTCTTCTGGTCGTCGACTCGTGAATACACACCAGCTTCCCCCATCTTGATACCATCTTTTCCATAAAAGAAGCGTTCCAGCATAGCAAGGGCATTCCAAGCAGTTCCACCGAACAAAATGCCATTGGGACACCTTCACCACTCATAAGTGGATCCAGCCAATCAAACCAGGAGGCCACTTCCTCTCGTCTGCTCGACCACACCTCCTCGAACTCTTCCATCGAACCAAAAGTTAAGATACACGAATTCCATGCATAACCCATTTAGCTCCCTTGACCTTGATCCCATCGCTAGCCAGCCCCTTCACTACTATTTCCAAATCTAAATAGGATTTGATAATCCCAGTTAATGATCTTTTCACCCAGTCATATTCATCTGTTGGAATATGCATCTCCTACAGATTCCTCAACCCTGCGATCTTGCCTGGAGGACCCTCCCGAATCTCTTTACACGCCAGACCTTCATTTTGCCCATCAAAAGATACTACCGCATCTTTATACGATCTCTCGTCTCTCAACCGATTGAAATACTCAGGTCCAACTCTTCTACTCCGATACCCTCCCTTAATCAAATTGTCTTCATCCCTTCTGACATTGCTCCTAACAGCTTGCCTAAGTTTATGCTTCTGATACTTAGCTACTCCTACCGAGATTTTCTTACCATCTAACCATATACCATTGACATTTGCTATTGCCTTCTTCAACCCTTCCTCCTTTGCAAACTGAACGAAAGCAAAAGTATGGTTTCTATAATTCGGCTTGTTAGAACTGCTCGGAATAAAGACACGAAAAACACTTCCCTGCTGTTGAAATATTTCCTTTACTGTTCTCCATGTTACCCTTTTACTCAGATTGTCCAAGTGTTGATTCATTGGTTCAACATTTTGGAATACATTTATAGTTGAATTGTATGTTTTTCTTGACGTGGTCTTTGATCTGATTACATTATTTGGTTAATTGGGATCCATCCTCATCATTTCTGAAATTTCATTTCTCTGATATGATAATATCTGATTAACATTACTTATTTGTGGTTAGGTTGTTTCTTCGGAGTTTACGTTCTTTGATGGTACCAAGTCTTACTTGGATGATTCATCTTATGGTGAAAAGCTTTTGCGTGCAAAAATGGATTTGAACTTCATGTAAGAGTATCATTAAATCTTGCTTCTATATAATTTGTATCTACTCATGGTTATTTTCATTTTACTGGTGTGTAATAAGAAGCATAAATGGCTTCTCAAATGGTTTTTTCTTTCTGCTTTTATGTATGAAAAACTGGTAGAAGAAAGATAAATTTGTAGCTCCCATTTTATTTGGTCTGAATTTGAAAGAAAATTTAAAGATGTTTGCAGTGAAGATTTGGTATATTGTTGCAAAATGATCTAAATCACACAAGATTTGCTCTTTCTCTCTTTCTCTCAACATATGTGTGTCTGCGACATCAGATTGGTAGGTAAGGATGTGTACATGACCATACCATAATATATGTATGCATGTCTTGACTTACTCATGTGTGGATCCATGCAATCTAATTTATCTTGTGTTTGTATGTGTTTAAATCTAAGAGAATAGTTGGAGAGAGAAGGAAAGAATAAAGAGTTAATGCAAGAACAAAATATCTGATAATTGAAGTAGGAGTTTACCAGAGTTTAAATAGATTGAGTTGCCTACTTCTACTAGGACTTTTCTAATAAATATAAGCTTCTATGTAGATTATGAATACTCCTATTACTTATTTTTCTTATCCTAAAAGACTTATAAGCAAAATAGGATTACTACTACTACACGGATTTTTCTGACAGTATGTATCAATTTCCTTTCAAGGAATATTAATATGTGAAACAAACCAGTACGTATTGATGTTTTCCCTCTTTTCATTGACATTGTTTGGCAAGTATAGTTTGTTGCACAAAAATAGCATATTTATTAAACTAAGAAGACACTACTTTCAGTTTGAGTTTTATGCTATGTTGAAAGAAAAGTAACTATAACTAACAGTACTAGAACTTTTTTCTTTACAGAACTTAACATTGCCAGTTGTGAATAATACCTTGTGCAAAAACTATTCATGTACCTGACCAATGTTAGGTTGCTAGTGACGTGAATGTTATGAAACTTCTATGTATTACTTTTTGTTGTTTCTATTTTAGTCAGTATTCTCTCTCTCTGCCCCTCTTTACCTTTTTCCCCTTTAGTTTCTCCAAATGGTCATGTCTTTTTATTTTTTTTATCATATATGGCTTTTGAATAATATCCTTTTGGTATTTTAATGTAAATCTAGGTTTTGATGAGAATAATACAATTGTGTTTTCTTTTGTGTATTTATCTTATGAACAGGTTTGCATCAAAGGAAAATGATACCTGGATCCGTGCTCTAGTGAAGGATCTTACTGTGGAGGCTGGTTCTGGCCTTACCATTCTGGATCCACTGGATATTTCTGGGGGATATACTTCCATTAAAGACAAAACAAACATGTCTCTGATGTTAACCGATATTTGTATTCATCTTTCATTAGGTGCAATATCTCTTATACTTAACCTATTGAACCAAGCAACTGCAGCATTACAGTTTGGAAATGCAATTCCTCTTGCTCCCTGCATCAATTTTGACAGAATTTGGGTGTCACCTAAAGGTTTTGTTTTGTTTTTCCAATTCATTTGAAGAAGTATGATGCTTTCTCTTTCTATTTATTTATTTTAACTTTTTGGGTTCTCTTTCCACCTTGTTTTATCCTGTCTGCAGAAAATGGATCTCATAACAATCTTACTATTTGGAGGCCACAAGCTCCAACAAACTATGTTATATTGGGAGATTGTGTGACATCTAGGTAAAAGTTGATTTTCCATGTTACATTTATGGTTAAAGAATCTGAGGTTCATGGTTCTCCGTTTCTCTTTTCTTCCAAACTAGAATTCTTTTTCAGTTAGTAATTATGGTTATCATCAATGGCATATATTTAAATTAAAATAGAATTCTGGTCTTATGCTGTTGATTCCTATCTTTATGGGACTGATATATGGGCATTTTTCTGAGTATGAGTTGGGTTTCAATGGGCTTTTTCAGTTTGTTTTTAGGCTGAATATCTTTCTTTGGGCCTTTTGTTCATTTCAGGTCCTGGGGAAACGGTTTTTGGCTGAGATAGGTTCTGACTAGGAAGTGAAACTAGGAAGGTGTCTTTTTTTTATATAGGAATTGGAGACCTCATTAAAAACCTCCCTCTTAGACTAGGAAGGTGTCTTTGAAGAGAGTATTTATTATTCTTTAATGCTCGTCAGTTTTAATATATACTAGTACGAGCCTTAGGTTTAGAAGAATTTCAAAATTGGAACTACTATTTGTCTTCTCTTCGAATTTGATGCACTTCTTAATCTCCGATGACTCTCTTTTTCTTTTTTTAATTTTTCTTTACTAATTTAGTCTTTGAGCCTTTTTACTTGTGCACTTTGTTCCGAATATTATCTACTTTTCCTAAATCATTATAATTTCAACAAAAAAGATGAGTGAGAATTTTAGAGAGAGAGTGAGAGGTCGTTTGTTAATGCTTCTTCAGACAAAGGTAGATCTTTGGCTGGAGGAGGTTCTTGGGTTGCTTTTGTGGACAACCATAGTAGGAGAGTGAATAGAAATGTGTTATGGGATCGCTTTAGTCTTCATGGCAAAGTGATTAAGGTGTTCATTCCAGTTGTTAATAGAAGACCAAATTATAAGTATTGTACGTTTGCCTTTGTGAAAAGGATAGGATGAATAATGTTTTAATTGATGGGAGGATAATCTCGGTGTCGATTGCAAGATATCAGAGGAAGAGTAGTTCGAGGAGTTCAGAGCGAAATAGCATGGCGGGGGCTAGGGTGCAAGAGGTGAGGAGCAGTGCGGAATAAGTTCAAAATCCCATGTTGAAGATGGTTGAAAGAAGTGGCTAAATAAGCTTTATGATGGGAGGTCATATATGGACACGGTTGTGGGAGTTAAGAGAGTTGAGGGCCCGAAGGTGGGTAGTTTTGGAGTCAACAGGGAAGCGAAAAGTTATGGAGTTTTTAGGGAGGGGAAGAAAAATCTGGAAGTTTTCATTCCAAAGGAGGAAAGTTCTTGGTTGAAAGCGTCTTTAACAAGAATTTGTATGGAGACCTTTGAAGTTGAGTTCGTGCAGAGGGCGCTAAGAAATGATAGAATCAATGCCGAGGTAGTTCGTTGGGGTCATGCTCACAATGCCTGCTTGGTAGTTTTCCGCTCAATAGAGGAGAAAGTTGCAATGTTGGATGAGAAATGGGAGGCGTTACCGTTTTGGTTTGACAAGTTGGAACCTATCTTGGATGTGAATAATGTTCCTCTGATGTTCTGTGCGGTTTCTTTGATTGGTGTGCCTTTAAACTGCTGGTCAGTTTCTTTTTTCACAAGTTTGGCTTTGAGATGGGGCAATCTTGTGAAGATTCAGATCAATCTGCTCAGAGATCGGATTGCAGAGTGCTCGCATGTTGTTAAGGGTTGCAAGTCCGTTTGATATACCTCCCAAGGTCTTTATGAATACGTTTGATAGGTCGTTTACTGTTAAAATCAAGGTGGAAGGAAGTGAGGATATTTTCCCGGTGCTGGACGAGGTGGAGCAAGAGGTCGGATTAGCGGTTCCTTGGGCGGAGAACTCATCGGACTGGAGTCAAGGGGATGACGTTCAGGGGCAGGATGGGCTATTGGGTAGCCAAACGATGCCAGGCTCACAGACCAGAGTGGAAGCATGGGTCCGGGAATCTCCATGTGGGGGAGGCATGCTTGGCGATGGGTGTGTCGAGAAAGGTGTTTTTTTTCAGTAGTGGGGCTATTAATTTATGCTCGGTGGAGACAGTACCAGGTGGAGATCCAGGTCGGCAGGAAGTGTTGGGGGAGTTTCTTGATGGAAGAGATAGGGGCCTGAGCATGGGGGATGTTGCCTTGGGGCACGGAAGTGCTAACCTAGATAATGGGTTATTTGTTAATTTGGATCTGGTAGCAGTAAATGGGTTGTCAGGTGTTAGTGAGGATTATTTTAATCGGCTGATAATGCAGTTTTGTCATCAATGGAGATGCACTCATATGAAGGGTGTAGAAGTGTACAGGGTGTAGAAGTGTACAGGGTGATGACTTGAATCAAAGGCTATCTATAGGACAGAGTAGTGAGGACTGGAATCATGTTCCCAATTCACTAATTAATGGAACTCAACTGTTGGGGGTTAAAACTAATGATCAAAAGGTTGAATTTGATAAGACGAAGGTGGTACAAGATGATAATCATTTGGTCATTAACGCCAATAAAACCTTCAGCTCGATTGGTAGAGATTCAGTGGTGAAGTTAGGGGGGATTAGCTCAATCTTACCTTTGGTCAATGCACACAAATCAGTGGCAAATATGGGGATTTGTTTTAAAAACTCGGTTCAATTTTTATCTCGGCCAAGAAGTCTTGACAATCATAGGAAGTTTAAGGTTTCTTCAAGTAGGTCTGGGAGTGATTGCTCGGAACATGAAGTCTCTGTTAGTTTTCACGATAGAGTTTATACAAGGGTGGATAGGAGTCTGGTCATAGATTCTTGGGATCAAGACAGCGTTAATGAAGATAATTCAAATCCAGCAGATATTGCTAGAAACGAGGCCATGGCCACCAGGGAGGTTTGTGATATGTTAGGGATTTCTTTTAAAGGGGGGCAACATGTTCTGGAAAATGAGATTATGAAGTTGGAGTTGGAAGGGTCTTTAAGGGCTTCTTGATTGTTGCTATCTGGTGGATTGGGGTTTTTTGATCTTTTTAATTGTCTCTTTTTAATATAATTTCCTGGAATATTAGGGGGCTAGGGAAAAAGGAAAAGATCCGAGCAGTAGCTAGGTTAGTTAGAAGATGCAAGCCGATCATTTTGCTTCTTCAGGAAAGTAAATTGAGTAAGTGCAAAAGTGGATTATTGAGAAAGATGGGGGGCAGTTCACTGAGAGGTAAATGTGTTCAGCCAGCTGTTGGTTCGCTTAATTTGTCTATGGAATGAGGATTTATTTGAAGTCAGCAGTGAACATACTCATAACAGATTCATTGCATTATCAGGGAGGTTTAAGGTGTTAAACTTTGAATGTGTGATTATTAGCGTGTATGGTCCAACCGTCGAAGTTGATAAGGACGAGTTCTTCCACCTGGATAAGATTAGACCGGTTTTTAATTAGTGAAGCCTTTTTTCAGAAATTCCAAAAGTTATCCAAAAATTATTGTTGAAATCCCTATTTAATCATAATCCCCAGGTGCTAGAAGAAGAATTCAAAAATTGGAGTCCTAAGCTTTTTCGTTTTTTCAACTATTTGCTAGAGGAAGATGGGTTTGATGGGGTGGTCCAGAATACAGTTAATAATTTAAAAATGAAGAATGGCCAAATGGCACTGCTGAGTATTCTTCAAGGAACAAAGAAAGTTATTAAAAAGTGGACAAACAATATTAAAAGGGGGATTTCAGAACATATTTCAGATCTGGAAAAAAGATTAATGATTTGGAATTGAGGCTTCAGGGTGGGGGGTTTTCTGCTCAAGATTGGGACCAATTATTGCTTTGGAGGAATGAATTGTGAGAGCTACCTAGGAAGGAGGAAAGCATGTGGCACAAAAGTCACGTCTCAAGTGGATAAAGGACAGGGATAGAAATACCAGATTTTATCATTTATGTGCCCTCAATAGGAATAGAGTGAATGCCATTTCGACGCTGAAAGTGGATGGGGAAGTTATTGCTGATCCGAGTTTGATTAGAGCGGCTATCGCAGATTATTTTAGAGTTAAATACAATGCGAAATCAACTATGGAGGTGGAGGAAATCAATCTGAATTTTGCTAAATTGACTGATGGCCAAAAGGAGGGCTTAGAGGTTGAATTATCTGAACAGGAAGTGTGGGAAGCAGTTTTTTAATCGGATAGTGCCAAGGCACCGGGTCTGGATGGGTATACTATAGGTTTTTTCAAAAAAATTCTGGCATAGATTGAAGGATCATATCATGAAATTTGTTCAAGATTTTCACAAAGGTAAAAAATGGGAAAATGGGGTTAATCACTCTTTTATTACTCTAATCCCCAAGAAAGTGAACCCAGTAGGCATTGAAGATTTCAGACCCATTAGTCTTGTTGGCAGTTTATACAAGATTATTTCCAAAATACTATCCAAAAGGCTTGTTGCGGTTATCAATGGTTTGATGAGTCCTTCGCAGTTTGCATTTATTCCGGGTAGGCAATTGATTGAATGTGCTCTTTTGGCAAATGAAGGCATTGAGTATTGGAGAAAATTAGGGAGGAAAGGAGTTGTTTTCAAAGTCGATTTCCGTAGGGCTTATGATTCGGTTGAATGGCATATCTTATTGAGAGTTTTGAAGGTTATGGGTTTTGGGGAAAAATGGATTGAGTGTTGTGTTTCTACAACCTCAATTCGGTGCTAGTGAATGGCTCTCCTACTGAGGAATTCCAAATCAGTAAACGGTTGAGACAAGGTTGCAGCTTGTCCCCTCTCCTGTTTAATTTAGTTGGGGAACTTCTAAATTTAATGCTGATTAAGGCTGTTGATTTAGGTCTTTTTCAAGGGTTTAGCATTGGTAGGGTTGACAATTCTTTCCATTTGACACATCTGCAGTTTGCAGATGATCTAATCCTTTTCTGCAGAGATTCTCCGATGCAGATTTTAAATATTAGGAGAGTTTTGAGGGTGTTCGGTGTGATGTCGGGGTTGCATCTAAACATGTCTAAGAGCACTTTGTTTGGCGTTAATATGGATGTTGACACGATAAAGGAGTGGGCTAAGAAAGCGGGCTCTGGTGTGGGATCTTTTCCCATGACCTACCTTGGTTTGCCGATAGGTACAAGGAAGAATTCTGAGGGCATGTGGGAACTTGTAATCCAGAATTTTAATAAGAGACTAGCAGGTTGGAAAGCTAATTCATTGTCGTTGGCGGGAAGACTCGCTTTGGTTAAATCTGTGCTGTCCTCCTTGCCGATTTTTTTTCTATCTATTTTCAAAATACCTTTCAAAGTTACCAAGAAGTTGAACTCTTTGATGGCTAATTTCCTTTGGGGAGAAGACCATGTTAAGAAACGAATTCATTGGGTGAATTGGAAATCAGTTTTTCAACCTCTCTAAGAGGGAGGTTTGGGAATCCTTGATTTAAGTTTGATTAATAGAGTTCTGCTTTGGAAATTTGCGAATGAAAAGAATAGTCAATGGAAAAGGTTGATTTGCTGCAGAAACAACATTAGTAACCTGCCCCTTTCTATTTCAAGTGATGCTTCTCCTTTAGATTCCTGGATATGGAGAGGTATTCAAAATAGCTATGCGAAAAATTATACGATTGGAAACTGTTTGAGAGATTATTCAAAGATTCAAGTGGGGAATGGTAGGTCGATAGCTTTCTGGATTGATGTTTGGGTTACTAATCTGTCTCTAAAAAATCAATTCTCCAGAATTTTTGCTTTGTCGATCAATAAATGGGGGAAGGTTTCTGAGTTTGGTGAGTTTGTAAATAACGTTTGGGTCTGGAATAATCAACTTAGAAGAAATCTATGTGATTGGGAGTTGGACCAGTGGATCGTTTTAATGTCGTTGATTGACTCTATTAAGCTTTCTGATTCGATGGATGATTTTCTGGGTTGGTCGGGAAAGGGGGATGGCATGTTCTCGGTCAAGTCTTGTAGATTGACGTTATCTGGCAGTTATGAAGGGAGTTTTAAATGGAATAAGTGGGTTTGGGCGGGGTAGGCCCCTCCCAAAGTTCAAACCTTCTTGTGGCAGCTCTGTCATCGCAAGTTAGCAGTGAGAGTAGAACTAGTAAAAAGAGGTATTCCTATGGTGGATGTGCTGTGTCCTTATGCCACTCCTGGGAAGAATCAATAGAACACATGTTCCTCTTGTGTTCTGTTGCTAGGGAAATCTGAACTAAATTTCTAAGGCTTTGGGATATCTCTGCTGTTCTGCCGCAAGATCCTTCTTCCCTTCTCTGTTCTTGGCCGAACCTAAGGCAGAAATCTACCATTTGGAAGTTCAGTTGTTTTATGGTCAATCTGGAACGCAAGGAATCTGGTTGTGTTCGAAAATGGGAAACTTGACAGCTCGGGTCTGTACTTTATAATTAGATTCAGTTTGGCTAAATGGTATTTAGCTAAGCACCCTACTATTCAGATTCAGACTGACCTACTCGTAGGGGATCCTACGCGGGCTGATAATTTTCATCGTCCTTCTACTCCTAAGAAGATTATTGGCTGGACTCCTCCACCAACGGGTGCGTTTAAATTTAATGTGGATGGGGCAGTCAATGGAGATGGCATGCAAGGTGGAATTGGGGGTATTTTGAGAGATTCTAACAGCTGTCCCTTAGCCTCTTTCTCTACTGCTGTAGGGCCTGGTCTTTCTACTTTGGCAGAATTGAAAGCTATTAAGGAAGGAATTGATTTTTTCTTTTCGTTTGATTGGGCTAATAAGGGAAGGCTAATTATAGAGAGTGATTGCAAAATGCAGTGGAATGGATTTTAAAACTGCATTCTGTTCCGATCTTTTTCAGTGATCTGGTGGAGGAAATCGGGGCTGCAATTTATGATAAGGGCTGTGTTCTTAAATGGATTCCTAGGAGCTGTAATTTGGAGGCTGACAGGCTAGCTAAGCAGGGGATTGGTTGAGTGTAGAAGGCCTTTTGTTGTTTGTTTTCTGTCTGTTCTTTGGGTTGTATAGGCTCTTACTTTGTATTAATTTCGCCGGTTTGACAATCAGGACTCACCATCAGTTGATGGGGACCTAGCTTAGGAGGTCAAGTCTTAGTTAGTGTTGTTGTTTTTCGTTGTTTAAGGGCTCTGTTTGGTTTTTTTTCTTTAGATAGGGGTGTTCTCCTGGTTGTATCTTTTGTAATTAAGTTATTGAATGAAACTCTAAGGCACTCTTTTCCTCCTTCCAATGATTAAGGAGCTTTCTTTCAAGCTCCATTAATTAAGAAGGGGTTTTTTAATGAGGCCTTCAATTCTTATCAAAAAAAAATTATCTACTTTTCCTAAATGCAAATTGTGTTTTTCATATGGTTATTTCTGTATCTGCAAAATTTACTTTTTTCCTTCAATCAATATCTCAATCTTTTATTATTAACATGCTTTTCGATCTGTTGTTCTCCAGGCCAATTCCTCCTTCACAGGCAGTACTAGCAGTAAGTAATACATATGGCCGTGTGCGGAAGCCAGTAGGTTTTGATCTTATTGGCTCTCTTTCTCATGTCCTTGGATCAGTAGTGGATGACCATTCTGATGTTGACAGTGACTGTTTCCTTTGGATTCCCATTCCACCCCAAGGTTATACATCAATGGGTTGTGTAGCAAATATAGGGAAGCATCCGCCCCCAAACGATGCTGTATGTTGCCTGCGCTCTGACCTTGTAACATCTGCTGCTTATTCAGAATGCATGCTGATTGCACCATCCAATCAGCACTTTACTTCTGGATTTAGCATCTGGCGTTTGGACAATGTTATTGGATCATTTTATGCTCATTCTTCAACCACACGCCCTTCCAAAAAAATAAGTTCTGATCTGAGTCATCTTCTACTATGGAATTCATTTTGGTCCTATGCGTCTCTTAAGGAATCTGTTCCTGGGTTTGCTGTGGATAATAATCATGCTAGTCAGCAAACAAGTGACCAGACTGCTAGTTCATCTGGTTGGAACTTTCTCAGGTCAATTTCAAAAGCATGTAGTTGTTATGTGTCAACCCCTCACTTTGAGAGAATGTGGTGGGACATGGGCAATGAACATCGTAGACCGCTGTCAATTTGGCGGCCTGTTTCGCATCGTGGTTATGCCATAGTGGGTGATTGCATAGTTGAAGGGTTGGTTCTTTTTGTCTTGGAATGTTTTTTTTTTCAAACTCTTATCTTAGGTATCATTTGATCTTTTTATGACTTTCTGTTAACATTCTGCATTGTATTTTTCCCTTACCAGCTTAGAACCACCTCCTCAGAGTATCAGTTTTAAGTCTGATGATCCAGAAATCTCTGCAAAGCCAGTGAAATTTGTAAAAATAGCCCAAATTAGAGGGAAAGGTTTTGATGAAGTTTTCTTCTGGTACCCAATTGCTCCCCCCGGTTATGCTTCTTTGGGGTGTGTGGTTTCCAGAACAGATGAAACCCCGTCCGTGGATTCTTTGCGCTGCCCAAGGATGAATCTTGTTAACCCTGCCAACATTCTCGAAGTGCCAATTTTAAAATCTTCAAGCTCAAAGGCACACCAGTGCTGGAGCATTTGGAAAGTTGAAAATCAGGTTAATAGAATGCTCATTAAACTCGGTCCATGATTATTACATTTGGTTTTGGTTCTCTAAGATACAATCATTTTTTTAAATATGAAACAATGTCAATATGGTCTGATGTAATCTTAGTCTATGGTTCTCTATCGTCTGAATTTTTATTGGGAGGAAAAGGAAAATAATAATTTTTTCGCTTCCTGTTTCTCTGCAGGCTTGTACTTTTCTTGCTTGCTCTGATACAAAGAAGCCAACACAGTTGGCTTACACTATTGGTGATTTTGTGAAGCCAAAGACACAGGAAAATGTTACAGCTGAGATTAAACTAAGATACTTCTCTCTAACTGTTTTAGACAACCTACATGGAATGGTATGTTCTCTAAAATAATGACCTGGTCCTCTTGACATGATATTGCCTTCTGTGTTGTAATCTTTGTTGTGATTGCCTTTCTAATGAATTCCCTCTGCTATTTTAACATTAAAAAAAATATTGCCTTCTGCATATGATACATTTGTTCCTTTTCAGATGACACCGTTGTTTGACATGGCTATTGCTAATATCAAGTTGGCAACACAAGGTCGGCTGGAGGCTATGAATGCAGTTCTCATTGCATCTATTGCTGCTTCAACCTTTAATACACAGCTGGAAGCATGGGAGCCCTTGGTGGAGCCATTTGATGGCATATTCAAGTTAGTTTCTACCTCATTTTAGTTATTATTTGCCTAATGAGAAAAGAGAGCAGGAAAAGTGCACTAGCTTTTAATGAGTTTGATGTCCAGTGTAGTAATTATTGATCTTTTCTTTTTCAAGGTTTGAAACATATGATACCGATGTGACGTCAAGACTTGGGAAGAGGATGCGGATTGCTGCCACCAATATTGTGAATATAAATATCAGTGCAGCAAATCTTGAAACTTTTGTGGGGACTGTTCTTTCATGGAGACGACTGATAGAGCTTGAACAAAAAACAAACAAACTGATCGAGGTCAACTGGAATTTGAGCTTTGAATTTGGTTTAAGAAGATGCTGAGCTGATTTCTATACTTCTGTATGTTCTTTCAAACATCTGACTAGTTTCTTTGTCAGGAGGCTTGTGCTCATTCTGGACATGAAGATCGAGCCTTTTCTGCTCTGGATGAAGATGACTTACAAACTTTGACAGTAGAGAATAAGCTTGGGGATGATCTGTTCCTGAAAAAGATTGAGCAAGATTCAAATGTGGTTGACCAACTTCATCATGGTGACTGTGCTTTGGTTTGGGTTCCACCTCCAAGGTTCTCGGACAGGTTAAATGTTGCAGAGGAATCTAGGGAACCACGCTATTCTGTTTCTGTGCAGATTCTTTTTGCTAAGGTTCTATTATGATTGAAGCTTTTGCTGCATATGTTTCCCTTTTATTCTTTGTATTCTAGTTTCTTCCAAACAGAAATATGACTTGGTATTATTTGGCAGGATTTAACTTTAATCAATGATGGTAATAGCCATAACTTCTTTTGTGCTTTGCGCCTTGTGATTGATAGTCAAGCAACAGATCAGCAAAAGTTTTTCCCTCAGAGTGCACGGACAAGATGTGTGAAGCCCTTAGTTTCAGATATCGAGTACCAAAACAAAGGCATTGCTAAGTGGAATGAAATATTCATATTTGATGTTCCTCATAGGGTCTGTTGTATATTCATCAATTTTTTTTCATTTTTGTTGTTTTATATCTTTAGTTTTCACTTCTTTACTGTTAAAAGTAGGCATGGTTTTCTTTGTGGATCAGTAAAAATTGTTAATCTATTCTTATTTCTCTGGAATTAAGGTGTAAGTTAATTAAGAGTAGTTCAATATTCCATCATAGTAAAATATCATGTTATAATAAACACAATTAAGTGAAATTTCTGAAGTTGTTCTGTAATGCAAGGGCTGGTAAGCAGTATCTGTTAATTTCCCAGTTACTAAGGTATTTCTGCATCTGCTGTCACAGGGAGTTGCTAAATTGGAGGTGGAGATAACAAATCTTTCTGCAAAAGCTGGCAAAGGTATGTTTTATTGGTGCATCCACTTGATTTAAAGTTGGAATTCACGTAAAAAAAAAAAACTAGATATTTTGAAGGGTTTTTTCCACCTGTTTTTGATTGCTTAAGATGCTAAATCTGTGTGCATCTAATATTTTTATGAGTTGATGTTCGTTAAGAACACTATTTATATAGGCATATTAATTTGTATGTTTTTTTTTTCTTTTCTATTCATTACATTGTGGCTCACTTGTTATTCTACTCTTTGTTTGTTCTCTTCTATGTATTAATTTGTTATTTTTTTTAATGTAGTTTTGTCTCGAAATCTTTCTAAGTGACTAATATTCTTCTAGATTTATTATATTATTGTTTTATTATTTTATTTTTTATATTCATAAAATATCCAGTCATTCTCCTTCCTCAAACTTGAATATGTATATGTTCTCTGTAGTCTCTTCATCTTGTAATTTAATAAAGCAGGTGAAGTTGTTGGTGCACTTTCTTTACCTGTTGGACATGGTGCGAGTACTTTAAAGAAGGTATCTTCAGCAAGGATTCTGCCTCAACGAACTGATATTCAGCATATTGAATCATATCCATTGCGGAGAAAGGTAAGTTTCGCTTTTCTGCATCTTTGGTCTGATAGTTTCATGTTTCTTTGTTTCAATGGAATATTAGTATCTTTGATTTATTTACTGTCTCTCTATTAATGGTCCAGCTCAACAGTGTTGAAGATATGCATGACCATGGATACCTCTCTGTTTCCACTTCTTATTTTGAGAGGAGCACAACTGCAAATTTTGAAAGAGATGCAGAAAGCAAGGATGCTTCTCATAAGGATATTGGTTTCTGGATTAGGTTAGGGAAAGATGGTTCATGGGAGAGCGTTCGTTCATTGCTTCCATTGTCCGTAGTTCCCAAATCATTACAGAGAGAATTTATTGCAATGGAAGTTGTGATGAAAAATGGAAAGAAGCATGCTATTTTCAGGGGTCTTGCAACAGTTGTAAATGATTCTGATGTTAATTTGGATATTTCAGTTTGCCATGAATCAATGATTCAGGATTCAGGATCAATCAATCATAACATAGTGGTCGAAGAAATCTTTGAGAATCAGCGCTATCAACCAAATGCTGGTTGGGGCAGTAAATGGTCTAGCTTTCAAGGTAATGATCCTCCGCTCTGGAGCACCAAAGACTTCTCATATTCATCGAAGGTTAGTAATTCTGTGTACTAATAGTTTCCATATTCTTGGGATTTATTTCTTGCATAACTTCCAAATGTATTGTCCCTTCTATTCCCATCCATTCTGCTTTGACATTATGTATATTCTCATCTCACCTTTATCTTGAAGGATTTTTTTGAGCCTCCTCTCCCCAATGGGTGGCAATGGATATCAACATGGGCTCTCGATAAATCCCGATTTGTTGATGAAGATGGCTGGGCTTATGGTCCTGACTATCAAAGTCTGAGATGGCCTCTAACTTCTTCAAAGTCACATGTTAAATCTGGTCATGGTGTGCGCAGGAGGCGTTGGATCCGAAAAAGACAACAAATTGCTGAGCAAGGAAAAAGTTGCATAAAGAGTGACTTCACTATCATAAACCCGGGGTCTTCTGCTGTTTTACCATGGGGAAGTACATCTAAAGGATCTAATCAGTGTTTACGTATTCGTCCTTATATTGATTATCCACATCCCACATACATATGGGGTCGTGCCATTGTTGCTGCTGTCAATTCTAGTTTTGTTGGTGAGAAGGACCAGCCTTTCTTAGATCAGAGTTCACTATATAGACAAAATTCTTTTCCACGGGGAAGCAAAATGCCCAATTTTGCTCTTAACTTAAGTCAACTTGAGAAGAAGGATGTACTTCTTTGTTGTTCTCCTACTGTTGGGAGTAGACAAATATGGCTCAGTGTAAGTGCAGATGCATCGGCCCTTCAGACAGAGCTCAATCATCCTGTTTATGATTGGAAGATATCTGTTAATTCTCCTTTGAAGTTGGAAAATCGACTGTCCTGTCCTGCTGCATTCACAGTATGGGAAAAAGAAAAAGAAGGGAACTATATTGAGCGAGATCATGGTATGATATTTTCACGCAGTAGTGCTCATATATATTCAGTGGACATTCGGAGACCTGTATATCTTACATTTCGTGTACAGGGTGGTTGGGTTTTGGAAAAGGTAACGGGTTTTACTTTAATCTGATTGTGTATTGTTTTTCCTCATCTACGAGTCAATTGAGCTTTGTGGTGAATGCACCAATACTTGCAGGACCCAATTCTTGTTCTGGATCTTTCTTCTGGTGCTCACATTTCATCTTTCTGGATGTTCCACCAGCGAAGTAAAAGGTTGTGGCTTCTTTTTTTCCCCCTCCTTTTTTTTTCTTTTCCTCTTCATGGGTGGCCACATCTAAAACTTTTCCTTCATCTCTTATTGATTTGTCAGTATGGGAGGATACTGCATAAATTGATATTTTTTTCCTGCGTTGCTTACTTAGAAAAGAAATGGAAAGAAACTATACATTTTTTCTCTCATGTGTTGCTCTTTGATAATGGTTAGTTCAAAGCGTATAGAAACCTAGTGAATAGTGCAAAGTTGATTCGATGGTTCTCTATATCTTTTAACAGCAATGATGCATATGATTCATGAAAGGAAATAGTATATGATTCTCGATCATATATGTTCAAATTTATTTGCTGAGAAAAGTAACTTTGATGAAATTTTCACAATAAAGGGATAATTGGAACTGGATTGTCATTCTTTTAAGGGTTTTTTTGTGTAAAAAAAACAAAAACCTAAAACTCTGGCTTATGCATTCCATGATCTTATCACATGGTTTTACAGGAGATTGCGTGTGAGTATTGAAAGTGATACGGGGGGAACAAATGCTGCACCAAAAACATTAAGGTTTTTTGTTCCATATTGGATCATCAATGATTCATCTCTGCCTCTAGCTTATCAAGTGGTAGAAATAGAAGGTTCAGATACTACTGCAGACACTGATTCACGCTCTCTCTCTAGAGCAGTTAAATCTGCAAGAACTGTTTTGAGGACCACTTCTCACTCGATGGAAAGGAGAAACTCCGATCTGAGGAGAAACATCCAAGTTCTTGAAGCTTTTGAGGACACCAGTCCAGTAGCTAGCATGCTTTCCCCACAAGACTCTGCTGGTCGTAATGGTGTTAAGCTGTTTCCATCACAAAAGGATACATATGTTTCCCCACGGGTCGGCATTTCTGTGGCTATTCGCGATTCTGAAATTTACAGTCCTGGCATTTCTCTTCTTGAGCTTGAAAAGAAGGTAGGCCAAGTGCATACATGTGAATCTTGTTTCCATCTTCTCTTTTGTGGGGCTTGGTGGAGAGGTGCAATGCTTCTGATATACTGTTGGTGGTGTCTCAGAAATTTGGTTTCTAACTGACATGTAACTTCTATTCCAGGAACGTGTTGCTGTAAAAGCATTCAGTTCAGATGAGTCATACTATAAGCTTTCAGCTCTAGTGAACATGACTTCAGACAGAACGAAGGTAGAAAACTATTCTTTAAAAGGTTGATGAAAGATGTTTTATTGTGGTTCCATCGTCTGGTAATAAGCCTAGTAGTTTTACCCTGTTATTTCTTACACATTGTTTTCGTCATTGGGCTAATTCTTCTTCTTCTCTCTAGTCCAGTAATAGTGTTTCTGCTTGTGGAAAATTTAACGATTCTCATAAACTTTGACCTTCACTTTGTTTCACGCTTAGTCGAAATTTCATAGGCTATACTTTCAGTTTCCCTCTTCTGGCATATATATAACTGGCAGTATGCATTAAGATCATTGCAACCTTGATCTCAGAAACAGTTCTTGCCTTATGTATTGTTGATCTGTCCTTGCGTTGGCATTTTCTGACTTGGCAAATCTGGTTCAAACTGTGTTCTTAACTGTTGATCATCTTAGTAATATATAGATTTGTAAGACATCATTAGTCGGCCTGATCTACGCTGTTTCCCTCCTGAAGTTACAACTTACAACTATATTAGCTATTACAGTACTTTTTTTAAAAAATAGCTATTACGGTCCAAATATATCATAAATTCATAATTAATCATCACAAGCTCTGATAACTAACTGGACTCAAACTGACAAACCAGAATATATTTGATAACTGATCGGAATAAAGTTTTGGTACTACTAGTACTGAATCAGTGTATAAAAGATGTTATAATGATTTAGGTTTTGAAACAGCTTGGAAAATAGTTAATCAATATTTATTTATAGATACTTTCTTTGGCGAATAACTACTAAAAATGGCTTCTGTTCAGGTCATTCATATTCAGCCGTACATGCTGTTTGTCAACAGGATTGGTTTAAGCCTTTGCCTGCAGCAGTGTGATTCTCATACTGTGGAATGGATCCATCCCACTGATCCTCCAAAACCCTTTCAATGGCGGAGTTCTAAGCTTGAGTTATTGAAGGTTGGTATAAATCAGCCATACCAATGTTTCAGTATATATTCCTGCATATATTTATTATTATTATTTAACTAAATGGAAGACCTTTCTTCTTCCAGTTGCATGTTGATGGGTACAACTGGAGCACACCTTTTAGTGTCTCCAGTGAAGGTGTGATGCGTGTTTCTTTGAAAAAGGACAATGGCAGGGATCAGTTATTTTTTAAGGTTGAAGTAAGGAGTGGAACAAAAAGCTCACGATATGAAGTTATCTTCCGCCCTAATTCCTCATCAAGTCCTTACAGGTTACATGATACACCTATGTTATATATACATTTAAAACTTCTTAAATACTTACTGAATAGTTGATGGTCTAGGGGGGATTTTTTTTCCTTTTCTTCTCTTTCATTTACTTCTTGTTTTCCAAGCATACAAGGGTGGCAATTTGGTGGTCGAGTTGGGTTCTGGTTGGCTGTAGTTCAAGTTAAGTCATTTTGAGATTTGTTTATGGTATGGTCATCTTGATTTGTCATTTTTGACAAATTGCCTAGTTTTGGGTCGTAAACTTTTTAAGATAATTATATTAAGCATCTCAACCTAGAATCAACAGGTGGGCCAAACTTTATTATATGACCACAAGAACCCTAATACTTTACAGATGTGGCATCACACCACTTTAGCACTTCCCCTTATGTGTAGTCATAGGTCCACACGTGAACCACAGATGGGTTCATAGAAATCTCAGTTAATAGATGTGGGATAACACTATTTAACACCCCCGTCACTTATAGTTTATCAATGCCATACATGTGGATGACCTCAAATGAGGTAATAGCTAGTAAGAACGGAACACTTTGGCTCTGATATCTTGTTAAATATCCAACTTAAAACCAATTATAAGTCAAGATGATCAACTTGAATATAAGATCACAAGCAACCCAAGACTAAATAAATGTGGAATAACCCACTTGATTTATATTACTTCACAAGTTCTAGTTTAAAAAGAGAGAAGAATAAAACTTATGGTCAATTGAAGTTCTGGATTATTTAGGTACATTTACTTCTAACATATTTTGTTCAAGTTTGGGTCGTGACTATTAGAGTCAACTGAGGTTGGATCAGGGCCTTTAGCCAATTTTCTTTTGTGTTTCTCTTTTGTTCATTTCTAATATTATTGTCTGGGAACAGGATTGAAAATCGTTCCATCTATTTACCAATTCGCTGTCGGCAAGTGGATGGTACCAGTGATTCATGGCACTTTCTTCTTCCCAACACTGCTGTTTCTTTCTTATGGGAAAATCTTGGTCGACAGCATTTGTTGGAAATCCTTGCAGATGGGACTGACCCATCAAGGTCAAAAAATTACAACATTGATGAGATTTCCGACCACCTGCCAGTTGATGTTACAGGCCCTGCTAGAGCTTTACGGGTTACCATCCTAAAAGAAGAAAAAGTAAATGTTGTTAAGATCAGTGACTGGATGCCTGAAAGTGAGCCTTCAGCAGTCACTGACCGAAAGATTCCGGCCTCATTATCAGATTTCTCTAGAAAGGGGTCTCATGAACTGTATTCTACATCAGAATGTGAGTTCCATTTCATTTTCGAGCTTGCTGAGCTTGGCGTGTCCATTGTTGATCATACACCTGAGGAGCTATTATACCTGTCAGTGCAAAATCTTCATTTGGCATATTCAACTGGCTTGGGCTCTGGTTGTAGCAGGTATGTCTGCTTTAATAGGTTCTGCAATGCCACAATGCAGCAAGATTTATGTTGTCACTATAAATTTTTCTTGCCCCACAGAAAATTGCTCCCAGAAAATAAATAAATAAATAACTGTAAATATTTTGTTAGAGCCATTCATACATAACATATGTAAAAGTTTAACCTTGGTTTTATTCATTCGATTAGTGTGTACCATTTATTTAATGATGCCCTGCTTTTGTTGGGAGTTATATTTCAAGTGATAAACTGTATGTATCAACTCATTATGGATTTTCCGTGTTAAGTTCAATTGATATATGTTTGCTTATTCCCAGTTTTTTGGTAAAAATGGGAAGCCTCATTAAAAAACCCCTTTCATAACCGTATATGTTTGCTTATTCCAAGTACACTTGTGTATATGTTATACAGTTGTCTTTCTCATGCACGAATTCTTTTTATTTTCAAGTAGAGTGTAAAAGTTCTAAACTCGTGTATATTAAATGGTAATAGGGGGGTTCCATACCTTTTTTCTCCTTTCGCACCTCAAAGAAGGCTCTGAATTGTTTAGTCAAAAATTTAGATTTAGCTGAACTCTGCAGTCTACTTATCATGTAGGCAGAATAGAAATCCAAAATAGTAATTTCTTGTACTGGAAGATTTTCCTGTTTTCTAACTATATGTGATTCTTTAGTGGATTATATTGATATTTCAGGTTCAAATTAAGAATGAGAGGAATTCAAATGGATAACCAATTGCCATTAACTCCAACACCAGTTCTCTTCAGGCCACAGAAAATTGGGCAGGAGACTGATCATATCATGAAAATTTCTGCGACTCTGCAGACAAATGGATCACTGGATCTGTGTGTCTATCCATATATTGGTTTTGATGTGAACATGGTAAATCTCAACATCATGAGCAGAGTTTATCTTCTTTTTCCCATCTGTCACTTTTATAGTCATTAATTTTGATTGGCTTATGACCAGGGGCCTGATAATTCTGCATTTTTGATAAACATTCATGAACCTATAATATGGCGCATACATGAGATGATACAGCAGGTCAATTTCGGTAGATTAAAGGATACTCAAGCTACAGCCGTGTCAGTTGATCCAATCATTCAAATTGGGTATGTGAACCTTTCTACAATTTATATATTCAATAATGTGCTTTGCCCAGAACTTGATTGCTTGGCACTTATCACCTGTATTTTACTGGAAATTCAGGGTTCTCAATATCTCAGAAGTTCGACTAAAAGTGTCGATGACTATGTCGCCTAGTCAACGGCCTAGGGGAGTACTTGGTTTTTGGGCATCCCTAATGACTGCACTAGGGAACACTGAGAATATGACTGTAAGTTTTACATTTAATCCCCTTATTTTTTTCCTCATTTGTAGATCATTCAATAGTTTGACCTTCAGTTCTCTGGATGGATCCGAAAAGCCACTTATGTTGGTATACGGAAGCTAAAAAATTACATGCTGTATCATGACTTCCAAATGCATATCTCGAAGTTGCAGTTAAATGGTTGATGGAACTTGTTTTGGTAATTGCAAGTGTTTGGCTGTGTAAGACTGAACTGTGACTAATAATAACTATGTTTCGGTTAGTTAAGTACCATTCTATGGATGAAGTTGCACTGGCAACTCTTTGAGCCATGCATATCTCAAGATATTCTAAATTTTCATGAGCTATTCATGGTTGGTTATGCTCATTGTGATACCAACTGTTGAATTAACAGGTTAAGATAAATCAAAGATTTCATGAGAATGTGTGCATGAGGCAGAGTACTATGATTAGTAATGCAATTGCAAACATCAAAAAGGATCTTCTGAGTCAACCACTTCAGTTGCTCTCAGGCCTTGATATATTGGGCAACGCAAGTAGTGCTCTTGATCATATGAGTAAAGGAGTGGCTGCTTTATCAATGGATAAGAAATTCATTCAAGGCCGACAGAGACAGGTGTGTCACAAACCCAAATTTGGATTAATAAGCATTCATTTTTCAAGCTTGTACTTTTTGTTCGTACTGCAGTAATTATTTGCAGAATATTTTCTTTCTCATTTATGTTTATCATGGGTCTGCAAATAACTGTATAAAGCTATTTTGTACCTCGTTTGCTTCTTTGGTGCTTGATCTACTTGAAGGTGTGTGTAATAACCCTTAACCCTGAAAGATACGTACAACTGTATAATAACTGTAGAAAATCAGACTATAGAAAGAAAACAGACTATATAGTAGAAAACAGACTGTAGGAAACAATCAAGTCTGTTATTTTATTCTTGCATACTTTCAATAGAAACATGTTGGAAATTTGGTCATTGAAAGCCTTGATTTAGTCATAATCTATGAGATATTCTAGGATTTGTTTTATATGTAAATATAGAAAGTAAAAGATGTAAATCAAGAAAAAGTAGAAAGTAGAAGCTGTCAAATATTGACTCTAATTAGTTTCTTTTTTTTTTTTGTTGTAATTTCTCTTTGTATAAAAGGAGCCTTATACTCATTCAAGAAATAAGACACATTATTTCTTCATTCTTTTCTAATTTGGTGTCAGAGCCATAATCGTGTCTTAACCCTAAAACACAACAGTTCCAAAATCACTGTAGCCATGTCCAAAGTCGCGTCAGAAATCACCTCAACCCCTGTTGCGGCCACTCCGCAGCACCACTCCAATTCTCATTCTGTCCAAATCACCACCATCCGCTTAAATGGCGTGTATATTCGTGGGCAAGGGAATATCGGTTACATCACTGGTGACAAGAAGGCTCCTGCTGTTGATCCGCTGTACGCTTAAATGGTGTATATATGTTGTATATTCCCAGTTTGAATGACAGCTCATCAAAAGTCACTCGTGGAAGGGCTTTGGTGAAGATATCTGCAAGCTGTTTCTTCGTCGGAATGTACTGCAATTGTGCAACTCCATTGTTGACCTTCCCGTAAATAAAATGTCTGTCTATCTCAATGTGTTTCGTTACATCATGTTGTACTGGGTTTTTTGCTATACTCATAGTTGATTGACTGTCACTAAAAATCTCAAAATTCTTCTTGTCACAAAAATCTCAAAATTCTTCTTGTCATCTAAGTCCAATTCTGTGAGCAGTCTTTTAATCCACATTCTTTCACATATTTCGAGATCCATTGCTCTAAACTCTGACTCAACACTACTTCGAGAGACAACGGCTTGTTTCTTACTTCTCCAAGTCATCAAATTACCCCAAACGTAGGCACAGTAGCCACTAACTGACCTTCTATCAGTTAATTCACCTCCCCAGCTTGCATCTGTATAAACCTTCACTGTTCTGTCTTGATTTTTTCTAAATATAAGTCTAGCTCCCGGGGTAAACTTCAAGAATCTTAAAATTTGCAGCTTCCAAATGTTCTTCTCGAGGATCACTCATATGTTGGCTGACAATGCTCACTGAGTATGCAATATCAGGCCTGGTCAGTTAAAGGTAGATCAACTTCCCAACTAACCTTTGGTAGGTTTCCTTGTTTACTGGATTTCCAGTCCGGTCCTTGCAAAATTTCAAGCCTTCCTCCATTGGAGTTTCAGCTGGTTTGCAGTCGAGCATCTCTGTTTCTGCAAGAAGATCCAAAACATACTTACGCTAGTTTATGACTAGCCCTTCTTCGGACCTTGCAACTTCCATACCCAAAAAATACCTCATACTCCCTAAATCCTTGGCTTCAAACTCCTTTGCAAGATTCATCTTTAGCTTTTCTATTTCTTCTATATCACTGCCAGTTATGATCATATCATCTACATAGACAATTAGGAGAGTTATCTTACCACTCGGTGTAATTTTTCTGAATAATGTGTGATCCGCTTGGCTTTGTTTGAAACCATTCTGTTTCATAGCCTTAGCAAATCGATCAAACCAAGCCTTGGGAGACTGCTTTAAGCCATATAAGGATTTATTGAGCTTGCACAGTTTTCTTAGTGACCTTTCCTTCTAATCCGGGGGGACCTCCATGTATACTTCTTCTTCAAGGTTCCCATTCAGAAAAGCATTCTTTATGTCTAGTTGATGCAATTTCCAGTCCATGTTAATAGCTACTGATAATAATATTCAGATGGTATTCAATTTTGCAACCGGTGCAAAAGTCTCCTGGTAGTCGATGCCATAGGACTGAGAAAAACCTTTAGCAACCAGCCTTGCCTTGTATCTTTCCATACTCCCATCCGAATGATATTTGACTGTGAATATCCACCTACATCCAACAGCTCTCTTCCCTTCTGGCAAATCTGTCAAACTCCATGTCTTATTCTTTTGCAACGCTTTTATCTCTTCTTCCACAACCTTTTTCCACTCAGGAGATTGAAATGCTTTTGTCACATTTCTTGAGATTTTCACACTGTTAATGCTGACAGTGAAGTCCCTAAAATTAGGCTGTAATTTCCCATATGCAACATACTTATTTATGGGATGAGCAGTACATTTTCTTATCCCCCTCCTAATAGCAATAGAAAAGTCATCAAGATCAACAGTAGTAGCCTCTTGGTAATCATCATTACCTTCTGTTTCAGATGCAACAGGATCCGAATCTGGTTCTTGGCTTTCAGAGGCAACAGGAATTTCTTCAGCAGCATCTTTCCTTCTTCTTGAGTAAACACTGAGTTGTTTCGGATGGGGAGTTATGGTTTCAGGGTCATTGTTAGGTTGCATTTTTGATAGTGGTGGAAGGGGTTTTGCACAGACTAGAGTTCTGAGGTAAGAAGAAAGGTAATTCATCAGAGTTATTTAGGTTATTCTCATCACCCTCACAAGGAAATGGAACTGTGCTAGCCGGCTTTGGAGAGACAGTAATAGGTAAAGAAATGATAGGCTGTAAAGAAATATTGGTTTGAATAGACTGAAATTCCTTGTAACTCTCCCCCTGAATTTCTGTTCCTGAAAAATAAGGTTGGTTTTCAAAAAATGTAACATCAAAAGAGACATGTCTTTTTTGTGGAAGGTGAGTAACACTTGTAACCCTTCTGACTCGAAGAATAGCCCAAGAACACACACTTTATGGACCTAGGATCTAATTTCCCTCTGTTTGGATATGAACAAAGGTTGTACACCCGAACACCCGAGGAGAAAGACTTGAGTTTAAATGTTTAAAATGGGGAAAAAGTTAAAACAGAACCTTAGTAGGAATTTTGAAATCTAAAGTCTTACTTAGCATTCTATTGATGAGGTACATGGCTATAAGAAGAGCTTTCCCCCAAAGATACTTAGGAGCATTAGCAGCAAACAGAAGAGACCTGGTAACCTCTAGAAGATGTCTATGTTTCCTTTCTGCTACCCCGTTTTGTTGAGGTGTGTTGACACAAGACGTAAGGTGAACAATGTCTTTTTTCCTTAAAGAAATACCCAAGAGTTTTATTCAAGTACTCACTCCCATTGTCACTCAGAATTTTTATTTTTGTGTCAAATTGGGTTTCAACTTTTTGATAAAAACTTTTAAAAAGAGACTCAACCTCATACTTTTCTCTCATTAAGAATACCCATGTTGTCCTAGAGTAATCATCTATAAAAGACACAAACCACTTATACCCAGAAATACTTTTGACTGGAGAAGGGCCCTAAATGTCACTATGGATGATGGAAAAAGGTGGTGTTGGTTCGAATTTGGCTGCAATATATGGTTTTCTGGTGTGTTTGGCTATTTGAAAAATTTCACATGAAAACAAGGATGGATCTTTATTTATAAATAAGTTCGGTAACATTTTGGAAAGAGAGTAAAAATTAGGATGACCTAATCTAGAGTGCCATAACAGAATTTTATCGGTATTGAGATCAGAAGATAAAATTGGTTTCCTAAGAGCACTGGATAAGGCATGATTATGAGATGTTTTACCTCCAAGGGTGTACAATCCTTTGCCCAGCCTAGCATTGCCAATCACCCTCTTCGAGTCCTGTGCCTGAAAAATGCAACCACCAGTACCAAACACAACATTACAACCAGAATAATTAATTTGCTGACTGACAGCAGATTGCATGCAAGTCTAGGAACATAGAGGACATTATGAAGTATTAGATTTTTGTTTAATGTAACAGAACTACTCCCTTTGACTGTAGTGAGAGAGCCATCTGCTATTTTGATAGAAGCTGGTAAGCTGCTTTCATTATATTCCTCCAAGAGATCAATATTTCCTGTCATATGATCTGATGCACCCGAGTCTATTATCCATTGTACCGAGAAAGCATATGGGTTATTCCCATCAATAACAGTATAAGTCACATTGGTAGGCTTGACTGTCATACTGCTCAAAATCTGCTGCAGCTCCTCTATCTGTTTCTTGCTAAAACTGCTTGAGGAATCATCTTGAGAGGAAATATGGGCCTCCTTTTGAAACCTGGACCGTGTGGGCTGCTAGTCGGCTGGTTTTCCGTGCAGCTTCCAACATTGGTCTATCATATGGCCTGGTTTCTTACAATGTTCACACCAGAGGCGATTTTGCCTCTGCTGCACTGAAAATCTGAAATCTGAAAAAACAGATTGAGATGAGATGGTCTGGGAAGTGATTTCGGATGCTGGGGGATCCCGATTAGCCATGAAAAAAAATAGAGTTGAACAGGAATTGATTTAAAGAGAAGCGGAAATCGGATTGATCGCTCTAACCTGATACCATGTAGAAAATCAGACTATAGAAAGAAAACAGACTGTATAGTAGAAAACAGACTGTAGGAAACAGTCAAGTCTGTTATTTTATTCTCGCATACTTTCAATAGAAACATATTACATATTTATATACAAATTATGCCTCTAAACTAGGAAACTCTAAGGAAAGATACTAATCCTAGGAGATGTAATCCCTTGAAATAAGGGATTTGAAAACAGAAAATAATTACAGAATCTCTTGACAGCTCATTTCTATAATTCCTACAATAACTGTCAAAAGGGATGTGTCTACTATATCTTGCTAATATGCTTTGATTCAAGGCGAACAAGTGAATTCTGAAAATTCTGAATGATTTCTCCCTAAAGCAATATGATCATCCGATTGGTTGTGTTAAATCTGTTTTTTTATCCCCCCAATCCCCCCCCAAAAAAAAAAAACTCATGCTGCTGTTACATACATGTTATGCTACTGTGAATTAAAGTAGATACTTATCAGATGGGCCCATCCAGGAATATTCATTTTTTTCTTTTCAATTTGATTTTCTGGCAGGAGAGCAAGGGTGTAGATGACTTAGGTGGTGTCATCAGAGAAGGGGGTGGAGCACTAGCAAAAGGCCTGTTTAGAGGAGTTACTGGAATATTAACAAAGCCTATTGAAGGTGCAAAATCTGCAGGCGTTGAAGGCTTCGTTCAGGGTGTTGGAAAAGGCATAATAGGTGTAGCTGCACAGCCTGTGAGTGGGGTTCTGGATCTTTTGTCAAAAACTACTGAAGGTGCAAATGCTATGAGAATGAAGATAGCATCTGCTATAGCTTCAGATGACCAACTCCTCCGCAGGAGGCTGCCTCGTGTAGTTGGTGGTGATAATCTGCTTCAACCATATGATGAGTATAAAGCACGAGGACAGGTACTTTAGTTTTTGTATCCTCATCTGAGGGAACGGTTGGCTCTAAGTATATTAAGTGGAAAAAGACCCGTTTTCTAGTATATGTTGGCCACACATTTCTGTTGCAGTTTTGTACTTAACCTGCTTATGTTTTGAGTACAACTCTTTTAACTTGCTGGCATTTTTGTTAATCTTGAAGGTAATATTGCAATTGGCGCAGTCAACTTCTTTCTTGGGCCAGGTTGATTTATTCAAAGTACGCGGAAAATTTGCATTATCAGATGCATATGAAGATCATTTCATGCTACCAAAGGGAAAAATTACTATAGTTACTCATCGAAGAGTGATATTGTTGCAAGTAGGTTGACTAACGTTGGAAATATTTTATGGTTGTCTGGTGCCTTTTTATTGTTAATTGTTTCTGTGTAGATCAAACTAACGGATCACACTGTCTTGTCTTTTTCAGCAAAACTCTAATATAACTCAGAGGAAATTCAACCCGATGAGGGATCCGTGTTCAGTATTGTGGGATGTACCGTGGGAAGATCTGGCAACAATGGAGTTGACTCAGGGAAAGAAAGACCACTTCAAAGCTCCACCTTCACAACTCATCCTCTATCTAAAGGCTGGACCAACAGATACAAAAGAACAAGTTCGTATCATAAAGTGCAACCGAGATACCGATCAGGCTCTTCAAGTTTACTCTTCAATCGAACAAGCAATGATTACATATGGACAGAACTCTTCAAAGGTTGGTTTCAAGATGATTTTATTTATTTATTTATTTTGCTTATATAGACCATTGGCCGTCACACTTTATAATGTGACATTGTTTTTCTATTTTCAAGTAATGTTAGTTTGAAACATAATATAATATAGGCGTAGATATTGAGAACTTGAAATGGGTACAACATAGGTTGGAGTATCTCTAAGCATGGCCTTGGGTCATCCCTGTTAAGATTCAAGGGGATTATTTTTTTAAATGAAATGTTGTTTGAATGGAACAGGAACTGTTGAAGAAGAAAGTGACTAAACCATATTCACCGGTAAGAGACAGCAATGCTGTTGAAGTGAATGCAAAGGAAGTGGGTTCAACCTGGTCTACACAACAAATCTCTAGTCCTACGGGACCAACTTTTGGCGGCAGCAACAGCAGCTTATTTCGGGAGTGAGATGTTAAAGCCACCAATTTTGGAGGAGCAGTGCGACAAATTTTGCTTAAATGGCATGGAAAGAAAATGGTTGTTGGATAACATTAGAAAAATGGGATGATTACTCTGCCTCGGTATTAATGAAATACAATTCTCTTCATAGAAAGCTTCGGACTGCAAATATCTCATATAACACATTATTTGTTCAAAATTCAGGGGGAATGATGAACCAAATGTCCAAATTGGGTAACGACTTGGAACTTGTATATATGTATTTTTTATGTTGATATACTTCTGCATATCCGAGATAAGTTAGTGTGTTGTCCCGAGATGCACGTAAATTCCTCCGGTCATACCACTAGACTTACCTCAGCATGTTTTGAGTTTATTCGTATGCACGTCTTCGTTTTTCAGCATGATCATTTAATGAATGCATGTAGTATGTGAGAGGTATTGTGTGACGCGGGGCTTGCGAGCGCAGCGATTGGAATGTGTTTCCGTTCGTAAGTTTTAGGTTCGTGATGTGCGATGGGACAACAAAATCATCAGAAGAGTCTCAGTGGAGTACCAGAGTACAGTGATGACAACCTAGTGGGCATGTGGAAGTCATGATTTGAAATGAGTCCGCTTGTAATATTTTAATCTATTTATCGAGTTTCTAAATTGGGGCAACATTTTTATAAAATGTTATGATTTTATACCTTGTATAAATATTTTGAAGTGAGTATGGTCTTAAGGGAAAAAATTGGGTTAACCACTTTGGTATTTTCGTGTGACATTCGAATCCGTGGGATTTGAGTATTATACATCGCATGTTTCTTTAGATTGTATTTTGGTCACTGGGTTTGCGTTATTTCATTTTATTTCGAAGTTTTGTCCTCATTTAGCTATTTACCACATTTATATTTTAGTATTAACTTTTGGTTTATTTTCTTTCGGGTCCTCTAAGCTTTAGAAGCGTACGTACTTCCTGATCATTGTTCTTTTTATCGTGGTGCAATTTAATTTTATGCCCATTTTCTACTTCATTTAATTATTATTTTCTAAATTTGTTCCCGTTTACATAAAATTTAGCTACCTCTTTTAACATTCTAGTATCCTTAATTTACGTTGATTCTCCTGTTTGTCTCCTTTAACTTTATCCTTTTTTGGATTTAATTTCCTTTTAAAACAGCTTAAATCATGCCTTTTATTTCTTCCGTATTTTATTTGTTTTATATTTTAATTAAGATTTTAGTGTAATTTAAATTATTTTCCTTTCTTTTCATTTTTTTAATATTTCACCGATTTGTTTACTTTATTTTTTAACTTTGTTCTTTTTTATGTAATTAAGCACTATATATGCCTTTTCCATTTCTCTTATAATATTTTATATGATATATACTTTTTACGTATTCATTAGTTTATGTAATATGAGACATTTCACATATATATCACGTAAATATTAGTATCTTGTACGGTGAGGAACTTATCTATATCTATATATATATATATATATATATATATATATATATATATATATATATATATATATATTGTTGCCTTCCAGTTCCAAGGTTTTGTTAATATTAGTACTCGATCCAATAACTGATCAAATACCAATTTACCCTTATGGGCCTCAGTGAATAAAATAGTCTATATGAGTAACTTATGTATGACGGATCGTCCCTCCAATTTAAGGGTGAATCAAGGGAAAATATAATGAGAATGGCTACAATGTCGCAACTAATTATATAATCTGAGCAGATAACCCAATAAGTGAATTGTACTATCACAATTCTAGTTTGTCTATGCCACATGTAGCTTTTTGCAGCCCTTTGATATGCCTAATTGCTTTTGTTGGGTGCATGAAGCATGTATAAGTAATCTATGGTAAATTCTATGTTTGATGTTTGTAAGCATGAAAAGCAAGTTCTTTTGACCTCTAAGATCTCAAATAAAACTCTAATAACGTTTGCGAGCCTCTGTGGGGTAAAAGGGTGAGTTTAAGATTTTGTACCCAAAATAGGGTACTTCAGGTCGTAAGTATTAGTACTGAAAGAATAGTTTCGATGTTGTACTTTGAGTAGTGTAAAAACAAAGGCATTTGTGAAGTTAGTATCAATACTCTCTCAAGAATATCGATACTCATGGTCTAATTTCGATACTCAAGGGGAGGTATCGATACCGGTGACAAGTTAAGGATTTCAGTAGCCATTTTTTATACTGATACTCAAGGGAGTGTCAATACCAAGGGTAGAGTATCGATACTCCCCATAAGGGGTATCTATACTGAGATATTTTTCAAAACATCGAAGTTATTTTTGGTATCGATACTCAAGGTGTGTATAGATACCCAAGGGTTAGTATTGATACTGCTGGCACATTATCGATGCCACCGTTGATTTTGGGTATTTTGGTTCAATCGGTTTGAGTGTCCGGACTTAGGTGATTTGAGAACGTATAAGCTTTAGTATTCAATAAAAGTGAAAACAATCAAGATAACTGAAATTACACATATAAATCAAGCAAGTTAGGATGACATGAGATTTGCCATTGTGTGACGCTCAGGAAACGGTAAGGACATCCGAGTTTCTAGTGGATTGTTATCTTCAGCTCGACTAGGTTCGGGATGTGAGCTTCCGATGCACGTAAATTCTGGACCTCACCCCAACCACACCCCGACCTATCGAGTATCCGAGATAGACTAAGGGCTTTAAGTTTCGATGCACGTAAATTATGGTTCTTACCAAGAAGCTATCACATTCTAGATAGGCTAGTGTGTTGACCGAGATGCATATAAATTTCTCCGACCACATTGTGAGACCTATCTCATGTTTGTTGATATACTTCTGCATATCCGAGGTAAGTTAGGGTGTTGTCCCGAGATGCACGTAAATTCCTCCGGCCACACCACTAGACTTACCTCAGCATGCTTTGAGTTTATTCGTTTGCACATGTCTTCATTTTTCAGCATGATCATTTAATGAATGCATGTAGTATGTGACGTTCGCAAGTTTCAGGTTCGTGACGTGCGATGGGATAACAAAATCATCAGAGGAGTCTCAGTGGAGTACCAGAGTACAGTGATGACGACCTAGTGGGCATGTAGAGGTCATGATTTGAAATGATTCAGCTTGTAATATTTTAATTATTTAATCTATTCATTGAGTTTCTAAATTGGGGCACCGTTTTTATAAAATGTTATGATTTTATACCTTGTATAAATATTTTGAAGTGAGTATGGTTTTAAGGAAAATTTTTTTGAAGTGAGTATGGTTTTAAGGAAAAAAATTTGGGTTAACCACTTCGGTATTTTCGTGTGACATTCGAATCCATGGGATTTGGGTATTATACATCGCATGCTTCTTTAGATTGTATTTTGTTTAATGGGTTTATTTCATTTTATTTCGAAGTTTTGTCCTCATTTCGCTATTTCCCATATTTTTATTTTAGTATTAACCTTTGGTTTATTTTCTTTCGGGTCCTCCAAGCTTTAGACGCGTACGTACTTCCTGATTTAACTTTGTTCTTTTTTATGTAATTAAGCACTATATATGCCTTTTCCATTTCTCTTATAATATTTTATATGATATATACTTTTTACGTATTCTTTAGTTTATGTAGTATGAGACATTTCACATATATATCACGTAAATATTAGTTTCTTGTACGGTGGGTACTTATATATATATATATATATATATATATATATATATATATATATATATAGCCTTTTAATTCCAAGGCTTTGCCTTGATTAATCTGGATCGACTCCGGTCGTACACCTAGTTTTGGTGGGTGAGTCACCTAGCGAGGATTTTCGGGATACACAAGGACTCGAACTTTAGACCTTGCTTAAGCTATATCAAGTTACTTACCACTTGAATTAAACCCGTTGGTTGGGGTACTTATATATTAGATATTTGTTTATATTATTTTTATCTTCGTAAATATTAAATATATTTTGTTGAATTTTTTTGTTAATGTTAGTACTCGATCCAATAACTGATCAAATACCAATTTACCCTTATGGGCCTCAATGAATAAAATAGTCTATACGAGTAACTTATGTATGACGAGAATGTATCAATCGTCCCTCCAATTTAAGGGTGAATCGAGAGAAAATATAATGAGAATGGCTACAAAATTAGCTAATCTGAACAGAACGTCATACTAACAGATAACCCAATAAGTGAAAAGTAGTATCACAATTCTAGTTTGTCTATACCACATGTAGCTTTTTGTAACCCTTTGATATGTCTAATTTCTTTAGTTGGGTTCATGAAGCATGTTCGTAAGCATGAAAAGTAACTCCTTTTGACCTCTAAGATCTCAAATAAAACTCTAATAACGTTTGCGAGCCTCAGTGGGGAAAAGGGTGAGTTTAAGATACATTTTGTACCCAAAATAGGGCACTTGTGAGTATCGGTACTGGAAGAATAATATCGATGTTGTACTTTGAGTAGTGTAAAAAGAAAGGCATTTGTGAAGGTAGTATCAATACTCTCTCAAGAATATCGATACTCATGGTCCGGTTTCGATACTCAAGGGGCGGAATCGATACCAGTGACAAGTTAAGGATCCCACCCTGACCTCTCGAGAATCTCGGGATGTGAGCTTCCGATGCACATAAATTTCGGACCTCACCCCGACCTCTCGAGTATCCGAGATAGACTAAGGGCTTTAAGTTCCGATGCATGTAAATTTTGGTTCTTACCATGAAACTATCACGTTCTAGATAGGCTAGTGTGTTGACTGAGATGCATATAAATTCCTCTGACCACATTGCCAAACCTATCTCATGTTTGTTGATATACTTTTGCAAATCCGAGGTAAGTTAGGGTGTTGTCCCGAGATGCACATAAATTCCTCTGGCCACACCACTAGACTTACCTCAACATGTTTTGAGTTTATTCGTATGCACATGTCTTCGTTTTCAGCATGATCATTTAATGAATGCATGTAGTATGTGAGAGGTATTGTGTGACGTGGGGCTTGCGAGCTCAACGATTGGAATTGTCAAAACGATTTTTATCCGAGGGGGAGCGAGATTTTGAAAATCGCATCATTTTTTAATTATTTTATTTATGGTTGATTTTTAATTAAAAACAATGCGATTTTAGAAAACCTCTCGTTTCGAAAATTTGGAAATTCCTTCACGATAAAAACATATGGTTCGAGGAGTCGCCACCAATCTTTGATTAGGGTGTGATTGGGCACCCAAAAAAGTTGTCATTTTATAAAAAGTTAATTTTAATTAAAACGATAAATTTGTAGTCTATGTTACCAAAATTCGGATTCGGGAGTCGATTACGCG